GCTAAGCCGCTTCTGTTCCCCGTATTCTTTGCTGCCAGGGTAAGTTGGCAAACTTTCAGCGGGGAACCTTGGACCAGCAAACTGTCCCTCCCTGCCAAAGTCAAGAGAACACGGCAACAGGTGATTGCCAGCCACTCAGTGCGCATTCGATGCATGCCACACGGTTGGGAGGGCAAAGGATGCTGATCTGAAGGTCTGCCGGCAATTTGGCATTCATAACTTCCTCCTCGCACTTTCGGCGCACCTGAGAGAATAGGAGGCGCAATGCGCAAAATCCTGGCAAGTCGAATGCAAACCTAAAGCTGCCTTGGAACAATCGACAGATTGCAACATATTCAAGTCTGCTCAACGCTACTGATGAAAGGACGTTTTGCCCATATCAAAGGGCATAGGGAGCCCTCATAGATAGTCATAGATGGCCTCTTGTGACTCCGTTGCTGCTACGATTCTTTCGTGGAAACATCCTCCAAAAACTGAGTGTGCGCGTCAAGCACTTGCCTCCTTGGGTTGTGTAGGTCTGAATCCTGCAGAGCAGTTGTTTCATTCAGCCCATGGGGCATTACGCCACGCGAATGTTGCCGCACAGATTGGGTACCCAAAGCACAAAACTCCCCATCACAACTGCATCTGGCCAAGCAGGGGAAAAATTAGATTCTGATGCGCGGCATAGACGTGGCAGACCTCCCAGCATGCACTCGATCTTCTTGGTCGCTTGGAACTCCTTCAGTTGCGCTCCTTGAAGCTGTTGTGCTTGGGCAGCCTACACCGACAAGTTGGTATTTGTATGTATTTGTGGCAAACCTCTACCCATCCGTGCTTAACCAGTTTTCTCGTGTCCATGAGCATTTTGACCACGTCTTACAGAGTCAGCCAGACCAACAGGCCTCGTTTTGGTATCTTCGATGGGCATCCATAAAGCACCCTGCATAGGAATTCCAAGCCTTGACTGCAGGATCCAGAAGTATGGAAAAACCCTATCGGTTTCTTGTTTAGGTTCTCCAAAAGTCCAGCATGCATAAAACACAATCTCTTTGCAACAACATATGAAACTTTGAAACCTAAGAAACGCAAAAAAAAACCTGCGAAACCATGGGCTACGGCTATACAGCCAAAAGCACATTCTGGGCCACATGCGCCCGCCCCCATAAGTCCCTTGAACCGACCACAGCGGTTGGCGAACAGCTCAAACAAGATAGTTTGCTTGGAACAACTTTCTCCAAACAAATTGTGCATATTAGTGGGTTTTGGATTACTTTGGAAAAGCTTGGCTGGAACCCCTCAAGTTCTCTCTTGGGGCGCTGGCCTAGCGACCCTAAGTATCCCGTTTGCATCCCGTCTGCCGTTAGGCAGTGCCGAGAAACTTGTCGAATTTCGATAGCATGACGGCAAGACTCCTTTCCGGTGTCCAGCTGCGGGATGATGGCAATGGCAACGTGCTTCACAATTGTGCCGGCTGATTGACAAAACACAAACTTGAACAGGAACATTTATTGACTATAAAAAACGAGAAATGCATACACAGACGCGCGGCAATAACCGTGTAATGATGCGTAATGTAATACACGTGTGATCAATCTTTCATCAACAAACGAACGGAACAAATATACGTCAGCATGGCGCTCTACAACGTTTTCTTCAGAACTATTTTGTCCAAGTTTGGGTAATTATTGCCCCCAAGTTTGGTAATTTTTATCCCCAAGTTTGGGCAATTGGCCTTCCCCCAAAATTGGGGATGTTTAGTCCCCTTTGGGGAATTTTTGTCCCCAACGTTGAGGAGTGTTTGTCCCCAAGTTTGGGGAAATTGTGCCCCCTTTAGGAATTTTTGTCACCAGCATTTGGGTTTTTTTGTCCCCAACTTTTGGGAAAATTGAGGACCAAAAAAACCCAAAAGTTGGGGACAAAAATTCCCAGGGACAAGAAATCCTAAAGGGGGCACGATTTCCTCAAATTTGGGCGCAAAAACATGCAAAAGTTGGGGGCAAAAAAAAACAAAAGTTGGGGACAATAATTCAAATACTTGGGAAATATTTTTTGACCCGAACTTTTGGGAATTTTTGGAAGCAACTTTTGGGGAAGTTGAGGACAACATTTCCCAAAAGTTGGGGACAAAAAATCCCAAAAGTCGGGGGCAAAAAATCCCAAAGGGGACAGCAATTTCCCAAATTTGGGGACAATAATTGCAAAACAGCTTCTAAAGAGATAGCCCAATAACATGGTAGAGAGACATGCTAAAATATAACAGAAACAGAGAAAATACAATTTCATAACCATCCTATTTCTGTGAATATCGACATATGCAGACTTATATGTATATATATATTATATTATATTATATTATATATTATATTATATTATATTATGTATATATATATATTTTGTATATATTATATATATATATGAGACATCCTTTCTGAACTCTGAAATATTTTTTTCCCGCCGGACCTTTTCTGGTTCTGCGCCTGCTGCTTCTCATGCCGTGCCCGCTTTGGGGAGGCTTTGCTAGGGGGGCGGGCGCAAGGGGAGGCGGCTGGGGGAAGTTCCGGGGGCTCCCGCCAGGATGTCCGCGAGGGTGCGGGGGAGGGCGGGGGTGATCCAGTCCTCGCCCAGTGCCGTGGTGGCGGCCGCACGCTGAGCTGCTATGCTAAGCAAGCACCACCAGCGGTGGGCCCATCCAGCGGCGGCGGTGATCGTGCAATCCCTCGGTGGCGCTCCAAATTTTCTTTCCAACATTGATTTCTGCTGTCCTTCCTGCAACTTCCTTGAGGAGATTGTTCGCAATTCCATCAGTCTCTGCAACTTCAACTTTCCAAAAGTGCTCCTCTTTCGCAAAGACTCTGTCTTCAAAATCCGCAGCGGGCTTGCATAGTTTCGTCACATCTGAGAAGGTCATCTCTTCAATCTCCTGAAGCTTCCCCTTCACAATCAAATCATTCCTCATGGATTCTGCCACAGCCTGGCTTGGGAAATCATTTGACATGTTGCAGATTGTCTTATTGACTTCCTCTGCAGCCTGATTGAGGAAAGATTTGTCTGTCGGAGACCATACTCTTTCTCCAGAGAAGATCACTGAAGAGGGCGAGGTCAAGAGACCACTGTCAATGGCTTTCACTCTAGTCTGCACAGAAGCTCCATCACCACCTTCCACATCTTCTTTTAGCTCTTCGAAAGCTTTCTGGTCGATGGGGCGGAATGACATCCCGAAACTTCCCTCTTTGAATTCGCTCACGAGGCAGCTTCCAGTGGCAACTCGGAACTCGCTTTTGATCTGCTCATCTGTCAAGCTCACCTCAATCACTTCTGACTCAAAGTCGACTACAGAGCTGTCGTCATGGTATTCCAAATGCTTGATCATGAGACCAGCCAACAGTTGTGCAGCTTCTGAAGTGATTGAGGATCCTGAAAGGACTTCTGTAATCAACCCCTCCATTGTCTTCTCACCAACTTCAAAAACAAGTTCCTCTTCTGTGATGCAAGAAGAAAGAGAAGTGACATAGTCTTCGTAATTTTGCACCTCAGGATCAGCAGCTGCCTTCCCTTTGCTAGATCCCTTTTGTCCAGCGCCTTTGGAGGTGAGCTTCGGCAGAGCAACCTGCATTGCTGATTCAATTGCTTCCCTCATGTCGAGATCCAAATCGGTGATTCCACACTGCAGGATCAGGACTTCTCCTGTCCGGCTAACTCGTTTAGCTTTTCCAGCCACCGACTTTTCTTGGACACCTAGTCCTGTGAAGATTGCACCGTCAAGATAGTGTGCTTTCAGGCTCCTACCTTCTTCTTTGTTGGTGAGAGCAACCATGAGTTCATACTCGAACTCCTTGGCATCTGCAAAGAACTCATACGCCACAGAGGCAAGGCGTGGAAACACTGGGCACAGTTTTGCACCGAGTTTCTGATCCAGCAGAGAACTGTGAAGAACACAAGTCTTCAAGGGAAAACAACCAGCAGCTGACAAGGTTGATGACCCAAAGAGCTCAGGCCTTGCCAAACCACTGCCAATCGCTCGTTCAGTCCTCTTCCATGAATTCTGACGCAATTCTGCCTTGACAGCAATGCCAGAGATTCCACTGAGCAGCGCGGTAGGATCCTCCACAAACATTTCGACAATTTGCCCAGGGAAAGCTGATGGACGAACATTTGCAGACTCAAGATCCATTTCGAGAGTGTTGAAAGCAACTCTACCAAACTTCACGAAAGGACTGACTTTCTTGAGAGCTCGAGCAATCCTATCCCGTCCCTTGACTGTCGAGGGATCAATGCTCAATCCTGCACTCACAATGCTGTGCATCAAATATGACTCAAGTGTCAATCCTCTCAGCTCTTTTTCTGCATCTTTTGGAGACAGAGGTCCAGTCTTCGATGAAATCGAACATCTTTTCGGTGCAATCTTGCTGCCTTTTCCCTTGCTTTCTGGGATTTCCGCGGTTGACTCTTCCAAGTCTCCAGTGCAAACAAATGATAGTCCCCTCACAACAATGTCTCCACTTCCAGTCAGAGGAGTTCCAGTGGGTTCAAAAACAGACATGAATCTGAAAATTGTTGAGCGTAGATAGCCAGCAATTCGAAGAACAAAGAAGAAGTAAGAGAAGCCAACAAAGACATCAATATGCATGCAAAACATGGATCTACGGATGATCCACGCTGGAAAACTATCTAGGTAGTAAAGACACTCAAAAGGAAATAGCACAGAATAAAGGTCTTATCCGGTGTTTGAACCATAAAAACAAAACTATGTATATATATATATGTATATATATATGTATATATATATATGTATATATATATGTATATATATATATATGTATATATGTGTATATATATATGTAGAAAATTGTAGAAATGAAATAAACATGTACAATACAAATCAAAAAATACATAATGTAATACTATATGCCTTGGCCCTCCGAACCTGCAAAACTTGTCAGGTGGTACTTGAACCCAGGGCTTCGAAACAAGGCCCGTAAATTTCACAACCATGCCACCAAATGCCGTGCTAATCGCAATGCGGTGGACCGTCAAAAAGTCCAAAGCACAAGTCCAAACAAAGCAAACCAATTGTTGAATTCCCATCAGCACCACATGTTCCACGCCATGGTTTAAATCACAGGTGCACGCATGTAAAGCACTGGTTGAACACTTCAGTGAACTCCCAAGGTATACCTCTCACCCTAAATATTCCACAAGGAACACTGACCATGCAGGGGTATAACAAGGTCAAGCACAGGCTCCTCGCTGGCTTCTGGAGGCTTGAATACCGGACCCGTACTTGTTGATATTGTGGGTGCATTTTCTCTACTTAGATGATCTTAGATGAATATGTATATGTGAAATCCCGATTAGAAAGGCTGAATGCTGGAAAACCAGGAGACATATAATATCACATGATGGAGAGGCGCGATGCCACTTTCGGACAACTTGTAAGAAGCCCAGCGATTTTGCCACAAACCAAAGACTTCGGGCGCACCGCGCTTAAACCCAAGGTCTTTGCTTTGGAGTTAGAGTTTCTAGCGTTTGATAAAAAACCCATCATGTGCGCAATTCATATGCGTATGTATGAGCCACATGCATATCCGTCAAGATCCTCGTTAGGTTGTGGCCACGTGCGAACATGCTGTCCTTCTCCAACTGCTGCTGCAAAGTGTTGCAAAGTTGCAACTTCTGGATGTAAGCGATCTTATCCTGTGGCAAAGGGACGGCATCGCCAACGCTAAAAGGACGTGACAGAGCGAGAGGACTTCCAACTTGCAAGGTAATCCACCATCTAAAGAACCCATTTGTCATATGTCTGAAGCTGGCCCAGCATGCTTTCAATCTACCTGCAGCACTGGTCCTCGTCACAGCTGACGATTGCGTTCTCACGCGGTGAACCTTAGGCCATCTCAGGTTTCAAAGTTTCCATCAGTGGCACGGTGGTGCACAGCGTATTTGCGGTCTGCCGAGCATGGCTGAGCCAAGTGCAGACATGTTTGAGCTGCCGAAAGAGAAGGAGTTGACTGTCAAACTCGCTCCTCATGCGCTCCAAATACTCCTTTCAGCAATATGGACTTGCTTCTGAAACAATGCTTCTCGATCCCAGACAGCGCCCAAGGAGCACTAGAATGCAGCAGCGAATCCTCATATGTTTCTTTTTCCGTCGGCTCTTTGCATGCCGCAGACTCAGCTGTCAAAGCCTGCCAATGCGCTATCATGATTTCAGGGCTCGACTGATCTGGAAAAGACGGCCCCAAAACTCTCAACTATATTTTCCTCAAAAGTGCATCGCCTTGAGAGCAGGCCAATTTTGGCACGTCGGGTCCTCCCTGAGGGATCGAGATAGCTCTGCATTGGCCTGGCCACAAATGAGTGAGCTTCAGTTCGGCGGTGGCAAGATCATTCCCTTTCCAGCCTTCTCGCATGTGTCTGCTGCCAACTTAGCCGTTGCTTCCTGGAAGGAGCAAGTGGGTACACCCAAACAAGTGACCTAATTAAGCCCGCAACCCACAGAACGAAAATCATTCAAATGAGAAACTTCCAGAGCAGCCGCAAATGGCAATGAGCAACCATCACTAGCTATCAGGTAATCATTCGTCGCTAGCACAAGTGAACGCTGCTAGATTCAAAATACAATGGTGGCACAATCGGCGAGTGTGCAAAAAACCGTACTTTTTTCGGGCGGAGCAAATGAAACAACATTTTTGTTGATGAATTTTTAAAGGGTAGGAAATAGTGTATAATATATGTTTTTGATTCCTGAATGTGCCTGTTTTCCATGCTGTTTGCAGCATTGAGAAGCTGGAACCTACCATGTCGCATGCCATTTGCAACATTTGGGAGCTGGAACCTTTCATTTGACATACCAGGCGCCGCAATTTCGAGCTAAAAGCTTCCATTTGGCATGCTATTTGAAGCATTTTATACTTGGAACTTTCCTTTTCGCATGCTATTTGCAGCATGTTTTTGCATTTTCCTTGCCACTTGGATATTTGCACATACTTGCAACATTTTGAAGCTGAAAGTGTCCATTTGGCACGCTATTTGCAAGTTGTTGTTGGTTGTTGGTTGTCCTGTTGGTTGTGGGTTCTTGTTTGTTTTCCAAATCTTGTTGCCGTTGTAGCTGTTGTAGCTGTTGTAGTTTTGGTAGTTGTAGCTACAGTTGTACTAGTAGTTGCTTGTTCTTGTTCTCTTGTTTTTCTTGTTCTCTTGTTTTTCTTGTTTTTCTTCTTGTTCTTGTTGTTGTTGTTGGTTGTTGTTTGTTGTTGGTTGTTGTTGTTGGTTGTTGTTGTTGTTGTTGGTTGTTGTTGTTGTTGCTTTTGTTTTTCCTGTTGCTGTTGCTGTTGTGGTTGCGATTGCGGTTGGTGTTGGTGGTGGTGTTGTTGTTGTTGTTGTTGCTGGTGGTGGTGGTGTAGCTGGAGGATCACCAGCAACTGTTGATGCTGTGGTCTTTGCTTGGGTGTAGGCCTTGTTTGCGGCGAGCACGTGAACAGGAAACCATGAAGTCAAGAAGCCCGTAAAGCTTTGCAAAGCCAAGAAGAAAGAAAACGGGCGAACCCATCAAGGCCAAAAAAAGGAAAAAAAAAAAACAAACGTTCGACGTTCGCGTGGTATTTTTCAATATTTTCAGAAGTCTGCAACTGCAACGTCAACCTGCATGGTGGAGATAGCACCTATCATTTTGCATGACATTTGCGGCATTTGGAAGATAGACCCTTTCATCTTGCATGGTATTTGCAGGATTTTGCGTGTGATACTTTCCGCATGTTTGAATTTCAACCTCTCATTTTGCATGGCGACCGTCCATGTTTGAATCATGGTGAGACCTCAACTTGTTAACCGGCTCATTTACATCATGGCATATCACGGTCTTTACACCAATGCGGGGGGAGGGCGCAGAGAGACAACTTCGTTCAGTTGTTGTTGTTGTTGTTGTTGTTGTTTGTGCTGCTGGTGCTGTTCTTCATGTACTTGTAGCTGCACTTGCAATCAAGCAAAACAACGATGAAGCAAGTAGAAAACAAAAAGCAGCGAAAGCAGAAAAATACAAAGCAAAGAACAACACAAAGAAAAAAACATAGAAGCAAAGTAGTGTAGAAAAAACACATGCAAAAAAAGAGAAGCAAAAAATCAGAAAAAACAAGAAGCAAACACAACAGGAACGTGCAAGGATTGCCGCACGCTTGGTGGAATTTTATTGGGGTTGCAACATGGGGGAATGTTTTTTGGATTGCAGCTGGGTGGATGTTGGCACCTGCAGCGGCGGGAGCAGTCGCACAAGCTCAAATGAAGGTTTTCTCTTGGGTTGTTAGCCCGGTCATGAGCCCACAGAAGAATCAGCCAGAGGAATTGCAGCCCCAAGAAAAGCCTCTCAGAAGAGAGGTGGTCCGGGCCAAAGTTCCCTTCAAAACGGGTAGCGAAGAACACGGCGCCCAGGAAGTAAATGGAAGAGGCAGCTCAAAGAAGAGACCGCTGGCAAATACGTGGCTCAGAGAAGAGATGGCTCAGAGTGGAATTAGCTTGAAGGGGCGGTCCAAGAGGAAAGCAACCTTTAGAAGAGTTGGTATAGTTATAGCCAACAAAACAGCAGAGAAGAATGCGAGGACGTATTCACGATAAGTCAGACGAGATTGAGCTCAGGCAAAAGCCGGCACGGAGAAGAACTGGCTCGCAGTGTCACAGCTGAGGTAGCTTGGACAATCGGATGCAAGAAGGCTGTTCAATCATTCGTGCAGCCTTAGCCCCACGGTCTCGACGATTCAGGTGCGCGCTTGTTGGCAGCTTAAGGCCGTGCGTCTACGCACCTCTCTTTTTGATTCCGAAAAAATACCTCCCGGCGCGGCTGGGCACGACGCGGACTGAAGCCCCTTACCGCACCTATCTTCATACTCACTTTGAATTTGGCAGTCATATGCAGCCATCGCGGGCCTCCCTTCGGCACAGAATATGCGATCTTGCTTTCCTGGCAGTTTCCTGGGGCCAGTGACACCATGCACACCATGGACCTTCTTGAAAATTGAAATCGCATAATTAAGTCCCCTGCATTTTCATGTCGGTCGGCCTTAGCGAAACGGATTCAAGGTCCATCCGTGAATTTATTGACAAAGACACACAGCATGTGTTTCCTCAAGAAAAATCGTTTGACCACCAGCTGGTCGCACTTTGCCGGCATTTTTTTCTTGACCCGAGAATCCTGAAGATGTTCGTCGAGCTAAAAGGTGAAACTTGCAGAAGTACAGCGCGTATACTCTCAACAAAAAAAAGTCGCAGCCCGAGCAGCGGCACATTGGAGCAGCATCTGTTTCTGCAACCCGGCCATGTCCGAAAGTTGGCGCCGCACTTTGTTGATTTGATGCCTCAAAGCGCACACATCGACCGCTTTGGCAGACCCGCGGTTCCGAATGCAGCTTTCAACGAACTCGTCCATATCGATGAAGCGATTTCCGTCCGAATCTAGAATTTGGAACAATGTCCATGCATCCATGGTTCCTAAACCCAAGGATTCAAACACAGCTTTCACTGCTTCGTTTTCGAACTGCATTTCAAATTCCGCCGGACCAATGCGCCCAGTGCCATCGTCAACCCGTTCAAACAATTCCATCAGCTTATTCTTGATAGCCGCCTTTTCGTGCAGAAGCGCTTGCACCACTAGGTCTTGATCTTTTTCAGCTCCAGTGATTGCACTGTGACAAAACACACCAGTCATAACCTGTCTGGTGATGATGTAGACAATGACGCTGCCCGCACTTGCCCGCAGCCGCAGCGTAGGCCAGAGGCGATCGCCAGAATAGAATGGAGGTGGTTCTAGTCGTCGTGGCGCTGCTGCAACACATCAGCACGTGTTGCAGCTGCAAACCTTAGAAGTTTGTTGTCATGGTCCACCTTAGTAGGATCAGTAGTGGGCCATGCGAGTCTTTCCTGCAGCACATCGTGGGGTCTAATAGTAGGATCACGGTGTGGGTTCTGAGTACATTCCCAAAGCATGTGCTGCACAGTGGCACAAACATGTTGGCAATACGGGCATGTTTCTTCAGCACCTCCCATGGCATTTCGACATTGAGGTGAAATGAAAGCACCAGTTACAACAGCCAGTTCGTGACTGTTGAGTTTTTTCTTGCGCAGAATATTAATGCGGGTCAGGTCACATGGAATGTCTGCACAAACCGTTGAGTCGCGTCGGTCAAGTTCCAAGAATTCCTCATATTTTCTGATTCGCCAAGCATCTCTGAGCCTATGTGACAGCACTTCGGTCGCCTTTTCAGGCAGCGTGGTTGGTTGAGTCTGAATAGTTTCAAGCATCGGGTGCGTCCAGGTCCAACTACCAGCCTCAGCGAACCCAAGTTCTTGCATGCCTTTTCTAAAGCTACCCGTCCAGCCACTCATTTTGGGTGGCCAGTTTTGCAACTGCATCTGTGTTTTGTGAACATAGCGGGTGAGGACTCGGAGAGTCGTAACCGTGGCAGCAAAACCTAAGTCCCACCAATGGCCAGTAAAAATTTGGAGTAAAGGTACGGCTGACTGCTTTGGCCACTGATGCAGCGCTTTTGCTCCCTGAAAGAAAGCGTTGCTTTCAGCATGAGTGGGTCTTCGAAACAGCCATCCCCAACTTGCTTTTGCTGGGGCACAAACCCTGGCAACTGCAGCTTTACGTGTTTTGGAACCTGGGAGGCACCTACATTTTCGAAGAACTTCTTTGGCCTCAGTGAGTCTTGTCAGTTCTCGGTCTTTGGCTTTTCTTTGGGTCACTCCCATGAACTGGAATCCCAACAAGGTGATGGAAGTGGAAACTGTTTCTGGAGGACAGCCGGCATCCTCGAGAGATCGGCAACCTTGAACGTTGCGGTGGTAATATTGCTCTTTGGTGGGGTTTTCTTGAAGACCAACCTTATTGCTCCAAACATGCCATTCATTTCGAACTTGCCATATTTCAGTCGCAGTGGAACAAGTGAAAGAACGATCATCGGCATATAAAGCTTGAACGCAACAAGGGTATTTTCTCTGAATGTGATTGGCAATGGGAGTAAGCAAAACACACATGCCTAACATGCTAAAGCAGTCACCTTGCGGCAGGGAGCGCTTGACAACATGGTTGTTTGGGAAAAATTCGTCATGGAGCTGAAGAAAACGGATTTGTTCGCTCCACATGCTTAACAACATGCGTGCAGCTTTGCGCGGCATACCTTGGTGGACAAAGAGTTTGCAGATTATCTCAGGGTCAGAATAATCGAAAGCTTTTGTCAGGTCAAGTGTACCAACCGGCCAGCTATGCATGTCTTTGAGGATTATGTGAGAGATAGCATCCTCAACACCTTTTTGGGGAATTCCCCCAAACATGAATTCGGGGGTGGATGTGTGGATCCATTCCTGAACCTCAGTTTGTTTGAATCTGGCTCGGCTGCAGATTCGCCAGATTATCGACATCACAGCTATGGGACGCATGTTGTCCGCCAGCATGCTGCCGTCAGCTTCAGGTGGTTTCCCTTTCGGGATATGCACTTGGCGAACACATCGCCATATGGTAGGAATGTTTCCGAGCTCTTCACAATGATCATAGAACCCGGACATGACCTGCCACATTTCGTCACTGAACAAACTAAGTTCCTCAGCTCTCCAGCCGTCAAGCCCCGGCGCACTGCCGCGGCTACACTTGGTGGCAGAACGGAGTTGTTCCGGTGTGAGGCTTGGCCAGCTGTCAGGAGCAGGGCGTGGTGGAGTGTGAGTAACCAAATCATCCCAAATATCATCCCAAGAGATTTGACGTCTATTCCAAATATCGGCCCAAAATTCCCTGAGAATCCTCAGGCTGTCTTGGGTGGAGTGACTAGGAACAGAGTCTTTGGTTTTCTTAACCGCATTGCACATGGGAACAGATCTATGTCGCAGCCACCTGTATGCAGCCTTGTCATGTTCCATGTTGTTTCTCCATCGTTGAAGTCTGGTGTAGTCATCTTCATGATTGAACCGTTCCAAAAGCGTTTCAAGATGCCGAAGGTTTCTTTGTATACCCCAATCATGGTTGTACATAGAACACCGTCTGATTTTATTCCAGAGAACTCGGCTTTCAGTGATATTTTGCCTGTCTTGATCCAAGTTTCGCTGGGCTTCCCGCAACCTTCCAATCAATCTGCGCAGAACTCTTTGGCGGTGAGTAGCCATAGCTCCAGCAGGATGTCGTTTCATGTGTTCTTTCTGTTTAAGAGAGACCTCAGTGGCCTTTCCTTTCCTCAGTAAGGCCGGAGACACTCGCTGCAGCATGTCAGGGGCAGCAGCCCTGACTGCACAAACTAGGGCTTGAAAAAAAGTTTGCGAAAGCATCTGCCAGTCCTGGTCAACATTGACTGACCATCGCTCTGGAAGTTGTGTGGAAAACTGCGGCCAGAGCTGAGCCAATTTGATTTGGATTCGTTCAGCAACTTCCGGGTCCTTCGGGAGGATTCTAGGAATGTTGGCTTGTTGGAAACCTAAAACAGGTTCGGTAGATAAATCGAAAAAAGTTTTGACAATTTTGTGGTCGGCTACAACATCAGGAAGCGTTTCGACCTCAGTGGGCTCAAGGTTACTGATATAGTAGTCAATATCGCGGTTTCCTTGCCACCGCGTTGGGGTTTGAGTGGCATGAATACGAAATTCCCTAGGAATCAAGAAATGAAGAAAGGGATTCTCTTCGGGTGTGGCATTGTAATCCCCCCCCAAAATAAAACGATGTCTTGGAGCGAGAGAGTGGACAGTTTGAGCCACAGCTGCACTCACGGTTTCTGCATCACTGTTAGGAGCCAGGTAAGTGGAGATGACCAGAGTTGATCCCACCCACACAGCTTGGGCACTACCTCCTTTGTGAGTGTGTGACCAGGCCGGTCTACAAGGTAGTGAAGATTTAACCAAGACTGCAGCTCCTCCGTAGTGTCGATTGACGGTGCTTTGCGCACCGGAGAAAAAACTTCTGTACCCCACAGACCAACAAGTTTTTTGAAATGTGGTCCATTCAGCCTGGCTAAAAGAGCATTCCTGAAGCAGCACAATCTGAGGTGCCTGCTCCTGGGTTTGGAGCAGCTGTTGTAAGGTCCACGATTGTTTGGGTCCTTGAGTGTTGCATGTCCAAACTGACACATGTTGATCCAAGTTGCGCAATTTTCGTGATCTTGGTCCTGGATGGGACGCTTCACCAATTCTCACAGCAACCTTATCATTATGGTCATGTTCTTTGGCTCTACGGCTGCGCTTGTTGGAGGATTGGGAGGCAAAAAGCTCCTCCCCCTGCTGCAGAGTCTTCCCCCATGCTTGACTGAGGGCTTTTTTTTGGGTTTTAGTTAAAGACTGCCAATATCTTTTCTGAGACTGGAAACCTTTGGAGGTGGGATCATGTCCCAGGCATGGATTCGTCCAGATTTTGACAGCACCAAGTGGATTAACCTTGTGGCAAATTTTACAGGTCAGGTATCCCTTGGGAAACTTTTTAGCAGTGGAGTCCGGGTGGCGCATGGCATCCGGCGGAAGGACCTCAGTAACTAAGTGCCCTGCAGCTTGCGCCGCCTGAAAAGTGGTGGCAAACGGACCGCTAAGCCACTTGGCTGGCCCTTTACCGTTGACTCTTTTTTTGGTTTGGAAGTTTGCATTTGCAACCTCGGCTTCAGTCATACCAAGTCCGTTTCTGATGGCACCTTGGTTCGCAGGGTGTCGCAAAGCCATGTTTCGGATCCAACCCAGCAATTGAGTCGGGATAGGTTGAGTTTCATCAGTGCATGCGGTGGTTTTGAATCTACATGGTGTCCCTTTTCGTCTGCATTTGGCACAAACAAGCACGGACGTCAAATCAAGTTTGCGTCTCTCTTCTTTGGGGTTATGTTTGAGAAGAATTTGGCGAACATCATGCCCCGTTTGCGGAGCCCAAACTTTCAGGTTGTCAGCGACCTTCTGTTGTTTGAGCTGACCTATATGTCTGCCTCGCAGTTTCATACGAGCTCGAAGGCCTTTGTCAGTTCTTTGTTTCTTCCTGTACGCCTGAGTTGGATTTGTGTCAGGGTGTGCCTCGGCAAAATGTTTGCGGACACTAGCTTCGTGCCAAACTTTTGGCAACAGTGGGAGTCCTTTCCCGCATTCTGGGCAACTCCAGGCTCTGCCACTTTCAGGAAGTTCCGAGGTCGGGACTGTGATCTGAGTTTGAGCACCGAGTCGCGGGCATTCAGCTCTTTCGGAATCTGTATGTCTATTTTTCAGGTGTGAACTTTTTGCAGCTTGAAGCTTGGCTCTCGCTTGCAAACCTGCAGGAATTCTGATTTCATGCCGGCAGTCAGGCAGCGGACAAACCCATACCTGAGGTCCTTGCGGTTTGGCAAGCGTCTTAGCATCCAGCCGCTTGAGGTGTCGAGGATATGGAGCAGTGTCAGGGCGAAAGTCGCATTCTGTGTTGTCATTTTTGACTGCGCCTTTGTCCTTAGTACCCGACCGGTCCTTGGTCAGGTTGTCTGTCAAATTGAGGTGAGTTTCTGAGGTTAAAGATAAAACCGAAGCTTTATCGTTCTCAGAGGGTGCAAGAAACTTCATGTCTTCAATCCTTGAGTCACAACTGCTTTGCTTGAACCTGCATCTTTTGAATGGTCTTGCAACCGTTTCACTCGGATGCTGCAACTGCTGGGATTTGATGGCAGCACGCGGAGGTTCGCAGGAGTGAGGGGAGGCAGCCAAGGTAAGAAGAGAGGGGGAGCGCGGAGGATGGGGTCGCGCAAGGGCACCCGAAGAACCACCACCCGCCGCATGGCCGTGCACAACCGCGCGCAGACGCGGAGGAGAAGACGCGGAAGGAACCAAGGAGTGCAGGGACGGCGCGCGCGTGATCATCACACCCCCACCCGAGGATCCGCGAAAGGAGGAGGCGGGGAGAGTATGGAGCGAAGGAGCATGGGAAGAGCCAGGGGAGAGCGTGTGCAGGGTTTTAGGCGATTCTCCAACGCTTGGTCCAGCGCCTCCAAGTGCTTCGGCCTCGGGTTTGGCTGTCTCTCGCGCCCAGTGTTTGGGCACCTTAGTCATGCCGTCCTGATCCTGGGGTGGTCGGACGGATTGATAATGTTTGTCGTTTCTGTACACCACCAGGATTGGTGCTTCTTTTTTCATTCTGGCCATCCCCTGTGGACTCCACTCAGGAGCGAAAGTGAATCTTTCCAGAACTTCATCTTTTTGATTCCACACCACTATGCAGCATGATTTCACCTCTGCTGCCGCTTGCAGCAGCAGTCCACATATCCAGTGAGTTTGCTTCAACGCATTGTCACAAAAGGCAGGAAAGGCCTCTTTCCCACCTCTGACATGGTTTTCGTACCTATCTTGATGTTTGCGAACATGTCGTACCACTTCCGTACGAAATAGATTGGCATTTTTGATGCATTCTTCTTTGGAAAGAGTCTCACCAGTGGTTTGATAATGAAAGTTGTCTATTAATGCCCGGTACCCACAGTCACCGCATCCACCTTGATCGGCCAGCGTCCAGTGTTGGGTTAAGGCATCCGTCAAATTACCAAGAGACTGCGAGGTTGGCTTTGAACTCTGCTTGTCAATCGCTTCAGGCTGAGTCTGAGAGTCCAACTGCGTTTTTTCGACTTCCATTGGGTCCTTATTTTCATCGCCCTTTTCGGGCTTCTCAGCGGCAGATCTGGACCGATGTCGCTCATCGGGTTCTTTGGCCTGCCTCTTCGCGGGGCGCCCCCGCGTGTTGGCCGTCTGTGGAGGCTGATCCTTAATTTCATCCCATGTCTTCCTTGGTCCTCTGACTGCAGTGGTGCTGTTTGGCGCTGCAGGTTTATGGACCGAGTCGTTGACTATTATGGTAAACACAGTGGCACCTTCATACACCCAAAGACCCTGGTCGTATGGGTATGCAACAGGAGGCATTCCACAGGCGTTCCAAAAAATTTTCTTGTTGACCCTTCTTCTATTGTGAATAGTCATTTGGGTCCATCCTTGTTGTTTGAGGAAATCAACCAGTTCTTCCGCCATCCAGTCCCTGGGAACTCCAGAAATCTGAATTCGTTTGGGTTTCTTTTCGATGTCTTCATCTGATTTCTTTGTGAAACCAATGTCATTTCCCAACCCTTTCCGTAAGCACATCGGCTGGCCTCTCTCGCCTGAAAGACGAAGGCATCTCTGGTAGTATGCTTCATCGGTTTCATCTTTTTCGTGTTTGGTCCACACAAAATGCGGACGTTCCTTAGAGGTATCAATATTCTTATTGATAAAAATACCTTTTTTCCCTGATTTTTCCAGGAGGGTTTCCGCATCTTTTTTGGTGAGCTTAAGCCATCCTACCAAACTTGAACTTTGTTTCTGCCATTCCTGTCTTTCCCACCTGCCACCTGTGAGGACATGTGCACGACATCCAAAAGTGGCCAAGTCAGAAATGACATCAACGACACGTTCCTTTTGGGGTTCAGATACAAAGAGTTCTCTATAGTGAGAGGGAACGACAATTCTGACCAATTCCCTTTCAACCGTAGTAACATTGTTGGGATCAACTTTAACAGGGTGAGTTCTCCAAGGGTAGTCAGAGCCTAAACCGAGCAAGGCAATGTCTTCGACCTTGGCATGTTGGTTTGTCCTTTGAAGCCTGGTCCTGCTCAGTGTGATGCCAAGCTGATTCATTGCATCAGCTGACAAAACCAAAGTGAGTCCTTTCGTGAAACCAAAGCTTGTGTACAAGTCACGAAGTTCTTGGGTGACCTGTCTGTCATGACTGCAGCAAATATTTCCATCCCAGTCTTTTCCTTCCTTAATGGCCTGGCAAACTGTTTGCGCATCCACAAGTTTGATTGGCTTGTTCCATTCAACTGGGTTGAGAGCTCGCACCTTGGCAAGGTTTGGAGTATTCTGTTGAGGTTTGTGAACCTCAGTGTCTTGTTTCTTTTCATTATGTCTGGGGTTGTGGTCCACTGTGGTAACTTTGTCACCACGCTTGTCCCACCACCACCATCCTGTTTGTGGGTCTCTGCAATACTGTTTCCACGCACCATTCATTTTCCACCATCCTGTCTCAAGAATGGTGTAGTCTTCATCTTTGTTGTCCCGCAGCTGCTCTTGTCTAGACGGGTCAGGTTTGGGCTCCTGTTTCACCGTTTTCTTTTTCTTAAACATCTTTTTGGGTGAATTTTGACCGACCACTTGACCTAACAAGGACATCACGGATTCAAACTCTTTCGGAAAAGAACCTTGGTTAAGACATACCTTCAAACCTTGGATCAAACTCCTAACCGCGGCGTTGTCATTGTCACTGTAATTCTTTTTCCTTTGCGTCCTTCGTTTATATCCACCTTGCAACCACTCAGAGGCAAAAATGCAATTGTTCGCATCAGGCTTGTACCAGCTCAGTGCATCATATCCAAGTGGCCATTCTTCGGGTCTCGGAAAACCCGAATAGAGGAAAGAGTATGACAGGGAAACATCCATGCCATTGGTTCGAACATATGTCCATCTCATCCGAAGCTTCAAAGCACATCGTCTGTGTTTCAGGCGTGCTTTTCCGAGTCTGTGCGTGCTGCATTTTCTAGCAGCACATGCAACATGTGGTTTCAACAACTTCTGACAGCGTTTGAGATCACTGCATTTTTTCACTGAGCGTTTGTTTTTCAAGCGTTTGATGATTCGTTTTCGTTTGCGTTTGTCTTGAGCCCGTTTGAGACATGCAAGCACAAATTGCTTAGTGACACCGTACCTAAGCAACCAGCCGCAAATTTCTCCCATGGTGCCCAAACAAAACCAGATAAGAAAGGGTGACCAATGATTTTTTTCATCAAACCATCCCATCTCAAAATTCCACATTTCGAGGGGAAAAGATTCCCAGGGGCGAAACCCAATTTTCCACCATTCCAAACCCAAATTCCACATTTTGGAGGAAACAAAATTCAGAGGGTAAAATCCAAACTTCCCATGGTGACACCTAGCGACCAAATCCAAAATCACATTGAGGATCCCAGGGAATTTACGTTTTGAGGGGTCAGAACCAGAACCGTAGGGGTGGATATCGAAAGTAGTTGCACTTACTTCCGTCAAAAGTCTGAAACCAGCTTCCACATCCACGGAGCCATATTCGCTCAGCGCATCTGCAATCTGCCGCCCGCTGCGAGGCACATCGATTGTCAGCTGCCATTTTTTCCCGTTGCGGGTCATCTCTGGGGGGCCGTTAGACTGAGTTGTGGCATTTTCCACAATCAATCCAGGGCGGCCGGTGTAATTGACGTCATGGTTGGCGGCCAGGTCCTTGTTGGTGTCAAATGCAGCACAGCAAGGCACAGACCAGCAAAGCATCAGCAGCCAGCCAGCCATCATCCTAGGATTGGCCTTATGGCTCTTGTCTTTTTTGGCGATTTGAAAAATCGCTCTCTTCGTGCAATGCACATTCAAATTCTTGAATTGGTTCTTTTTGTCTTCCTTTTTTGACTTTTGTTCTTTTTCTTTTTCTTTTGTATTTTTCTTTTCAAATTCTTCTGCAACAAACGTGGGCCATGCCACGTTAATTTTCTCTCCTGCCTGGCACCCGTGACGAGCCCGCAGCGACCGTGCCACTCTGCTGTGGCTGGAGGCGCAGGAGAAGCTGCTAACCTGAAATCTGGATGATGATGTAGACAATGACGCTGCCCGCACTTGCCCGCAGCCGCAGCGCAGGCCAGAGGCGATCGCCAGAATAGAATGGAGGTGGTTCTAGTCGTCGTGGCGCTGCTGCAACACATCAGCACGTGTTGCAGCTGCAAACCTTAGAAGTTTGTTGTCATGGTCCACCTTAGTAGGATCAGTAGTGGGCCATGCGAGTCTTTCCTGCAGCACATCGTGGGGTCTAATAGTAGGATCACGGTGTGGGTTCTGAGTACATTCCCAAAGCATGTGCTGCACAGTGGCACAAACATGTTGGCAATAAGGGCATGTTTCTTCAGCACCTCCCATGGCATTTCGACATTGAGGTGAAATGAAAGCACCAGTTACAACAGCCAGTTCGTGACTGTTGAGTTTTTTCTTGCGCAGAATATTAATGCGGGTCAGGTCACATGGAATGTCTGCACAAACCGTTGAGTCGCGTCGGTCAAGTTCCAAGAATTCCTCATATTTTCTGATTCGCCAAGCATCTCTGAGCCTATGTGACAGCACTTCGGTCGCCTTTTCAGGCAGCGTGGTTGGTTGAATCTGAATAGTTTCAAGCATCGGGTGCGTCCAGGTCCAACTACCAGCCTCAGCGAACGCAAGTTCTTGCATGCCTTTTCTAAAGCTACCCGTCCAGCCACTCATTTTGGGTGGCCAGTTTTGCAACTGCATCTGTGTTTTGTGAACATAGCGGGTGAGGACTCGGAGAGTCGTAACCGTGGCAGCAAAACCTAAGTCCCACCAATGGCCAGTAAAAATTTGGAGTAAAGGTACGGCTGACTGCTTTGGCCACTGATGCAGCGCTTTTGCTCCCTGAAAGAAAGCGTTGCTTTCAGCATGAGTGGGTCTTCGAAACAGCCATCCCCAACTTGCTTTTGCTGGGGCACAAACCCTGGCAACTGCAGCTTTACGTGTTTTGGAACCTGGGAGGCACCTACATTTTCGAAGAACTTCTTTGGCCTCAGTGAGTCTTGTCAGTTCTCGGTCTTTGGCTTTTCTTTGGGTCACTCCCATGAACTGGAATCCCAACAAGGTGATGGAAGTGGAAACTGTTTCTGGAGGACAGCCGGCATCCTCGAGAGATCGGCAACCTTGAACGTTGCGGTGGTAATATTGCTCTTTGGTGGGGTTTTCTTGAAGACCAACCTTATAGCTCCAAACATGCCATTCATTTCGAACTTGCCATATTTCAGTCGCAGTGGAACAAGTGAAAGAACGATCATCGGCATATAAAGCTTGAACGCAACAAGGGTATTTTCTCTGAATGTGATTGGCAATGGGAGTAAGCAAAACACACATGCCTAACATGCTAAAGCAGTCACCTTGCGGCAGGGAGCGCTTGACAACATGGTTGTTTGGGAAAAATTCGTCATGGAGCTGAAGAAAACGGATTTGTTCGCTCCACATGCTTAACAACATGCGTGCAGCTTTGCGCGGCATACCTTGGTGGACAAAGAGTTTGCAGATTATCTCAGGGTCAGAATAATCGAAAGCTTTTGTCAGGTCAAGTGTACCAACCGGCCAGCTATGCATGTCTTTGAGGATTATGTGAGAGATAGCATCCTCAACACCTTTTTGGGGAATTCCCCCAAACATGAATTCGGGGGTGGATGTGTGGATCCATTCCTGAACCTCAGTTTGTTTGAATCTGGCTCGGCTGCAGATTCGCCAGATTATCGACATCACAGCTATGGGACGCATGTTGTCCGCCAGCATGCTGCCGTCAGCTTCAGGTGGTTTCCCTTTCGGGATATGCACTTGGCGAACACATCGCCATATGGTAGGAATGTTTCCGAGCTCTTCACAATGATCATAGAACCCGGACATGACCTGCCACATTTCGTCACTGAACAAACTAAGTTCCTCAGCTCTCCAGCCGTCAAGCCCCGGCGCACTGCCGCGGCTACACTTGGTGGCAGAACGGAGTTGTTCCGGTGTGAGGCTTGGCCAGCTGTCAGGAGCAGGGCGTGGTGGAGTGTGAGTAACCAAATCATCCCAAATATCATCCCAAGAGATTTGACGTCTATTCCAAATATCGGCCCAAAATTCCCTGAGAATCCTCAGGCTGTCTTGGGTGGAGTGACTAGGAACAGAGTCTTTGGTTTTCTTAACCGCATTGCACATGGGAACAGATCTATGTCGCAGCCACCTGTATGCAGCCTTGTCATGTTCCATGTTGTTTCTCCATCGTTGAAGTCTGGTGTAGTCATCTTCATGATTGAACCGTTCCAAAAGCGTTTCAAGATGCCGAAGGTTTCTTTGTATACCCCAATCATGGTTGTACATAGAACACCGTCTGATTTATGTGACAATGCGTTGAAGCAAACTCACTGGATATGTGGACTGCTGCTGCAAGCAGCAGCAGAGGTGAAATCATGCTGCATAGTGGTGTGGAATCAAAAAGATGAAGTTCTGGAAAGATTCACTTTCGCTCCTGAGTGGAGTCCACAGGGGATGCCCAGAATGAAAAAAGAAGCACCAATCCTGGTGGTGTACAGAAACGACAAACATTATCAATCCGTCCGACCACCCCAGGATCAGGACGGCATGACTAAGGTGCCCAAACACTGGGCGCGAGAGACAGCCAAACCCGAGGCCGAAGCACTTGGAGGCGCTGGACCAAGCGTTGGAGAATCGCCTAAAACCCTGCACACGCTCTCCCCTGGCTCTTCCCATGCTCCTTCGCTCCATACTCTCCCCGCCTCCTCCTTTCGCGGATCCTCGGGTGGGGGTGTGATGATCACGCGCGCGCCGTCCCTGCACTCCTTGGTTCCTTCCGCGTCTTCTCCTCCGCGTCTGCGCGCGGTTGTGCACGGCCATGCGGCGGGTGGTGGTTCTTCGGGTGCCCTTGCGCGACCCCATCCTCCGCGCTCCCCCTCTCTTCTTACCTTGGCTGCCTCCCCTCACTCCTGCGAACCTCCGCGTGCTGCCATCAAATCCCAGCAGTTGCAGCATCCGAGTGAAACGGTTGCAAGACCATTCAAAAGATGCAGGTTCAAGCAAAGCAGTTGTGACTCAAGGATTGAAGACATGAAGTTTCTTGCACCCTCTGAGAACGATAAAGCTTCGGTTTTATCTTTAACCTCAGAAACTCACCTCAATTTGACAGACAACCTGACCAAGGACCGGTCGGGTACTAAGGACAAAGGCGCAGTCAAAAATGACAACACAGAATGCGACTTTCGCCCTGACACTGCTCCATATCCTCGACACCTCAAGCGGCTGGATGCTAAGACGCTTGCCAAACCGCAAGGACCTCAGGTATGGGTTTGTCCGCTGCCTGACTGCCGGCATGAAATCAGAATTCCTGCAGGTTTGCAAGCGAGAGCCAAGCTTCAAGCTGCAAAAAGTTCACACCTGAAAAATAGACATACAGATTCCGAAAGAGCTGAATGCCCGCGACTCGGTGCTCAAACTCAGATCACAGTCCCGACCTCGGAACTTCCTGAAAGTGGCAGAGCCTGGAGTTGCCCAGAATGCGGGAAAGGACTCCCACTGTTGCCAAAAGTTTGGCACGAAGCTAGTGTCCGCAAACATTTTGCCGAGGCACACCCTGACACAAATCCAACTCAGGCGTACAGGAAGAAACAAAGAACTGACAAAGGCCTTCGAGCTCGTATGAAACTGCGAGGCAGACATATAGGTCAGCTCAAACAACAGAAGGTCGCTGACAACCTGAAAGTTTGGGCTCCGCAAACGGGGCATGATGTTCGCCAAATTCTTCTCAAACATAACCCCAAAGAAGAGAGACGCAAACTTGATTTGACGTCCGTGCTTGTTTGTGCCAAATGCAGACGAAAAGGGACACCATGTAGATTCAAAACCACCGCATGCACTGATGAAACTCAACCTATCCCGACTCAATTGCTGGGTTGGATCCGAAACATGGCTTTGCGACACCCTGCGAACCAAGGTGCCATCAGAAACGGACTTGGTATGACTGAAGCCGAGGTTGCAAATGCAAACTTCCAAACCAAAAAAAGAGTCAACGGTAAAGGGCCAGCCAAGTGGCTTAGCGGTCCGTTTGCCACCACTTTTCAGGCGGCGCAAGCTGCAGGGCACTTAGTTACTGAGGTCCTTCCGCCGGATGCCATGCGCCACCCGGACTCCACTGCTAAAAAGTTTCCCAAGGGATACCTGACCTGTAAAATTTGCCACAAGGTTAATCCACTTGGTGCTGTCAAAATCTGGACGAATCCATGCCTGGGACATGATCCCACCTCCAAAGGTTTCCAGTCTCAGAAAAGATATTGGCAGTCTTTAACTAAAACCCAAAAAAAAGCCCTCAGTCAAGCATGGGGGAAGACTCTGCAGCAGGGGGAGGAGCTTTTTGCCTCCCAATCCTCCAACAAGCGCAGCCGTAGAGCCAAAGAACATGACCATAATGATAAGGTTGCTGTGAGAATTGGTGAAGCGTCCCATCCAGGACCAAGATCACGAAAATTGCGCAACTTGGATCAACATGTGTCAGTTTGGACATGCAACACTCAAGGACCCAAACAATCGTGGACCTTACAACAGCTGCTCCAAACCCAGGAGCAGGCACCTCAGATTGTGCTGCTTCAGGAATGCTCTTTTAGCCAGGCTGAATGGACCACATTTCAAAAAACTTGTTGGTCTGTGGGGTACAGAAGTTTTTTCTCCGGTGCGCAAAGCACCGTCAATCGACACTACGGAGGAGCTGCAGTCTTGGTTAAATCTTCACTACCTTGTAGACCGGCCTGGTCACACACTCACAAAGGAGGTAGTGCCCAAGCTGTGTGGGTGGGATCAACTCTGGTCATCTCCACTTACCTGGCTCCTAACAGTGATGCAGAAACCGTGAGTGCAGCTGTGGCTCAAACTGTCCACTCTCTCGCTCCAAGACATCGTTTTATTTTGGGGGGGGATTACAATGCCACACCCGAAGAGAATCCCTTTCTTCATTTCTTGATTCCTAGGGAATTTCGTATTCATGCCACTCAAACCCCAACGCGGTGGCAAGGAAACCGCGATATTGACTACTATATCAGTAACCTTGAGCCCACTGAGGTCGAAACGCTTCCTGATGTTGTAGCCGACCACAAAATTGTCAAAACTTTTTTCGATTTATCTACCGAACCTGTTTTAGGTTTCCAACAAGCCAACATTCCTAGAATCCTCCCGAGGACCCGGAAGTTGCTGAACGAATCCAAATCAAATTGGCTCAGCTCTGGCCGCAGTTTTCCACACAACTTCCAGAGCGATGGTCAGTCAATGTTGACCAGGACTGGCAGATGCTTTCGCAAACTTTTTTTCAAGCCCTAGTTTGTGCAGTCAGGGCTGCTGCCCCTGACATGCTGCAGCGAGTGTCTCCGGCCTTACTGAGGAAAGGAAAGGCCACTGAGGTCTCTCTTAAACAGAAAGAACACATGAAACGACATCCTGCTGGAGCTATGGCTACTCACCGCCAAAGAGTTCTGCGCAGATTGATTGGAAGGTTGCGGGAAGCCCAGCGAAACTTGGATCAAGACAGGCAAAATATCACTGAAAGCCGAGTTCTCTGGAATAAAATCATAACCTGTCTGGTGTTTGTCAAAAATCACTTTACTTCGAGTTATCCCCACCATGACATTTATACGTTTTGTTACTGGCAAATCTTCTGGCATTCTATCTGACATTCTATCTGGCATTCTATCTGGCAAATCTTTTGGCATTCTATCTGGCAAACATTCTGGCACTTTATCTGGCATACCTTCTGGCATTCTATCTGGCATATCTTGTGGCATTCTATCTGGCATATCTTCTGGCATTCTATCTGACATTCTATCTGACATTCTTCTGGGGCATTCTACCTGGCATATCTTCTGGCATATGTTCTGGCATATCTTCTGTTATTCTATCTGGCATATCTTCTGGCATATTATCTGGCAAATCTTCTGGCATTCTATCTGGCAAACATTCTGGCACTTTATCTGGCATATCTTCTGGCATTCTATCTGGCATTTTATCTGGCATTCTATCTGGCATACCTTCTGGCATTCTATCTGGCATATCTTCTGGCATTCTATCTGGCATATCTTATGGCATTCTATCTGGCATATCTTCTGGCATTCTATCTGACATTCTATCTGGCATATCTTCTGGCATTCTATCTGGCCGTTGAGGTCCAGCGGTGCGCACTGAGCTGGGCAGGTCCCTGGTTGAGGTCCAGCAGTGCACACTGAGCTGGGAAGGTCCCAGGTTGGTGCGCACACTGAGCTGGGCAGGTCCCAGGTTGAGGTCCAGCGGCGCGCACTGAGCTGGGAAGGTCCCAGGTTGAGGTCCAGCGGTGCACACTGAGCTGGGCAGGTCCCAGGTTGAGGTCCAGCGGTGCCCACTGAGCTGGGAAGGTCCCAGGTTGAGGTCCAGCGGTGCGCACTGAGCTGGGAAGGTCCCAGGTTGAGGTCCAGCAGTGCGCACTGAGCTCGTTGGCGAAGAGCTTGGCGAAGAGTTGGCAAGGCGGAAGTGGAGGTGGAAGTTGATGCAGACATGGTCGAGGAGAAACTGGAGGAGGAGAAGGAGGAGGCGGAGGAGGAGGAGGAGGAAGAGAAGAGCTAGCCGAGGAGGAAGAGAACAACTCTGATAAAATCTAACAACCCTCACCTGGCAGGTGGGGAACTTTAGCAAAGACGCCGAACTCGAAGCAACAGAACACATCTTCTTGTTGCTTTGTGCTGGCGGTGGCAAAACCCCACACACTACAAACATGCGGTCACATTTTAACCATATTATAACTTTGGATGGCTATAATCGCTTTTGGGTTCGAGGGCTTAGCTTGGCACAATTAGATAACGTGCCTCAACCTGAAAAATAGATATTGTAATGTGACACAGTCGGAAAAGAAATGCTTTTCCACAAAAGATTGCTCAATTTATCCGAGAAGCATTCAGCACTGCAAAGCCTGACTAGGTCATGATATATATATATACACTACAATGATCTATGTCTGCAGTATATCCATAATTATCATCTATTATCAGATAGTATGCGGGATATTAATTGTCATGATCATCAAATATTAATCCATCAATGGAGATTCATTATTATGGAGATATTCACTCCACATCAGAACACTATGATACCACCTTTCAGATCTCGAGCGCCTCTTCTGATCTGAGACTGAAAGGCACTGAAAGGCAAAGCAAACAGTACCACAAAAGCGTTCATGTCTGGCAAAATCAAAGCGCAAATATCACACACACACAAGGTCCGTGCAATGAGACGGCAGCTAGCCCTTACCGTCAGAACATCTAAGCGTGGTCGCACCGACGACACACCTGGCCGCGCAAAAAAACAACAGGAATAACCCTGCAGCCAAGGGGCAACAGAATGCCACATAGAATGTAAATACACATGTCCACTCTGGTCCAACATAGTGGAGGAACTCTGCAGGAGCCTCCCACGTCACCCCACCAGAAATTGCTCGGAAGAGCGTGTTCATTGAAGTGACCAAAGACCCAAAGTGTCGCACCAAACCGTCGGCTATGTGCCTCAGCATTTCCGCCATCGTGAACGCTGACCTGTTTGTTGGCTTTGTCAGCACGCGCGCGCGCACACACACAAACATAGAAGATTGGCGAGCACATGGAGCGACCAAACAGGAAAAGGCCACGTTCACCAGTGATAATTTTTACATATTTTAACCGTGTTCTTGGTTTGGAAAAAGAAATGATGACCTGGAAATAGGCACCGTGTGACAAGTACAAAACCAGTGTCTCAAGTCAAACCCGAAGCAAATCATAATGTCTCGTTTGGCACCTGATCTATCTATGTTCCTCATTCCCCCCGTGCGGCAGCTCTTTGGCCGGCCTAGGCACACACACGCGCACACACACACACACGCACGCACACACTGCTGATTGAGTAAGCAATTCACTCTGCAATTGGAACGTTATAGAGATGAGGTTGTCTTCGCCTCAATGTTCCTAAGAAGCCACCCTGGCAGAGATAGACCGCATAAAGGTAGCAAAACCTAAAACCCCCATGCACCTAAATGACCTGAATGAAGAACAGGTGATCACACAATTTGACATGTAGGCAACCACGCGCTCAAATTGAAATGCAGGTGCATGGCTCCGCGTCCCAGAGTCATATCAGTCATGAAGGCAGCCCTCTCAGCTGGGCAATCAGCTACAAAGATGAGATTGCCCCCCGCTTGGATAAACTCGCGATCATGATCATAGTTCTTAATCGCGTGTTCCACAGGCACACAAATGCCCTTTAAGTAAGGGCAACGAGACAGCCTGGACTGCTTTCTGGCACTGCATCAAGTCTGAAAATCAAAAATCACAACGGGATTGGCATGTGGATGATGCGATCGAACCAACTTTGTGAGCGGGGCTTTTTTAACACACACGCACAAAAGAAGGGGTGGGAGGGAAGGAGGGAAGGAACGAGGACAGCCAGCCAGAACAAACAACGGGAAAACGAGAGAAAACAACAAAGGCAGAAAACAGGCAGGGGAACACACAACAAGCAGGCAAAACAAAGGAAAGGAGCGGGGGAAGGCCGTGAAAGGAAGCACAAAGGAAGCACACAGGAACCCAACCCTGGCACGCAGAAGAGCAATCAGCGCAAAGCAAAACAGGAAACAAAAACTGAAGCAGGACAGCACAGGGCAGGAACAAAGACACACCTGAGGATGCGGTAAGGGGAGAGCAGGGTTGGGGAGGGAGAAAGAAGAGGAGAGAAGGACAGGAAGGAGAAAGAAGGGCGGTGTCCCAAGCTATGCCTGCTGAATCCATGAGCCCACCGGCAAGGAAGGACGAAAGGTGCACCCAGCTATACTGCAATCATCAGCTTTGAAAGTGCTGCAATTCTGTATATATTGCAAGCCATGCGGCCTTCTGCTGTCTTGTGAGTTATTTCAGTCATGTGACGATTTTCAGGTACCAGACATTTGTATGCTACAATTTTAAGCCACTTTCCACGGGCGCTAATTAAGATAATTAAGTCCCGTCAAAATTCCGAAGTATTGCAGCAGTGCCCCATTCTGCGCCAGAAGGCCGGCTCCAAGTCAATGCGCGCCACAGAGCGTCTAAACGGCACTCACAAGTCAGTGAGACCGTGCCCGTTCACACTGCTGATTAAGTAAGCAGTTTACTCCGTAATTAAGCAGCCTGAATGAAGAACAGGTGATCACAAAATTTGACATGTAGGCAACCACACACACACAAATTGAAATGCAGGTACGTGACTCCAGCGTCCCAGAGTCATATCAGTCATGAATGCAGCCCTCTTAGTTGGGCAATCAGCTACAAATATGAGACTGCCCCCTTCTTAGATATATAAACTCATGATCATGATCATAATTCTTAATAGCATGATAGCTAGCAATTTACACACACACACACAATTCAGCTGACGCCAAAACAGAACCAAGTTAGCGCACTGGTTAGTACTCTACTTCCAATCTTGACCCAGCTGCTGAGGTATGTTGTCGCCATTCTGCAATATGTAGTCCGTGATGGCATCTGCAAACCTTGAGGCCACCAGCCCGAACCACCAACACAGGGGTACAGTAGTAGGCCTGATAAAACCACACTTTTAACTCAACTTTTAACTCAGCTGTTTATTCTAGGTGTCCCTCAATATAGACGGAGGAAAAAACACCCAGCCCAAACTATCGTACAGTTTCACTTGAGTGGGGTCTGCAAACTGATGTTTCAACGCTCAGAAGCAAAATGCCGAAGGAGTACATGATCACGAACAAGAGCACAAGCGACCACACGAGCGACCGCATGGTGTGAATGATGGAGAAAACTAAGACTCTTAAGGCCCGGATGAAGCGCAAGACCTGAACAGGACTGGAGGTGCTGTGGCCTTGTTCGTGCTACATCATGGCGGCCAGTTCTCCGTATGGTTGCCATCGTATATATATATATACTAGTACATGGACCTTCCAACTATTGAACACTGGCACTGATCTTTTTCCTCTTCCCAAATGGGGACAAATTTCTACCTCTTTGGAGGAAACACGCCTTTGCGATTGAAGACAGCCCGTTGTGAGGGAACAAAAGCCTGGTGCCAAAGTACCATGAAAAGACGCCTTTGGGTCCAGTAAAGTCCCTTGTTCAGAAATGCACTTTTATCATTTTTTTGGCAGAAGAACAGAAGAACGTCCAAATCTTGCAAGACGCCTGTGGTCCAGCAAAGCCGCCTTGTGAATCAGGAAGGCATATTTGCGGGAAGAGGCAGAAAGAATGAGCAGTCACAAATGTAGGATGATGTAGGCACCTAAAAAGTGTTAGGGGTGGAACTGACCATGCACATGCCCAGAGGGTGAAGATAGTGATGGCGGGAATGAAGTGTCAAGATATGTCACTACCACACAATGATGCAGTGAAGAGCATACATATCAGAAACCAATTCATGCACAATATGGCGCCTGATTGTGATATTGATGCAGGAAGAGTTCATTCTTTTCAAATCCACTGGTGAAATTGTATTGGAAGCAGTGCAACTCAAAAATGAAATCCTTGGCGCACACACACAAAGCTCAGAAAAGGCTGAGATGCATTCTTGTGCTCGTTGCAGCACACGGATCAACCCTGAGAAAGGACTGATCGCAACATATTGGTAAGAATACCACTGAATAGTTACTGTAACTAGTTTGGCATAATCACGTGGCCAAGAAAGTCACAAAGAAAAGACTCTGGACCACAAGCCTCCCTGAGACTTACGCGTGGTTTTTCATCCAGTTGCGTAGGGCACTGCTCGAGCATTTTGCACATCTTTGCGTGTTTCCAAACGTTTCCCAACTGAAACCCGCCCTGACCCACCGGCTTCGGTCTCCCCATTGATTCCCAGAAATCCAGCAATATCCAGCAGCACCATCACCATCTACCCTAAAAAATGATACCTGTCTCCTGAAGGCATTGATCGAGTTTTCTTTTTTTAAATGTTTGTCACCACAATCGGACAGGTTGCATAATGTTGTATCTCCCTTTCTTTCTGCCTCTGCTACTTTTCACAATCTTTGGGAAATGATGGGCGCATCTACACTTCCTTGTGGTCTTTGAATCCAACCGAAAGAATGTGCTCATGAATTTACAGTCCTATATGATCCTACTATATCCCAGTGTGCCTTTTTTTTCCTTCATCTGGAGCTTTTCTAAAACTCTCAACATCAACATCTCCCAGCATATCCCAACTTTACAACCCCGCTTGGACAAAGTCTAGATGAAAGATGATGAAAGTCTAGATGAGAATCTTGAAACATGATGAAACTCCGGCACCTTGACCACCCGAATCGCTCTGACCAGGCGGGCAATCTTCATGACGCGCAACAAGCGGAAGCCGCTGTTGGAGCGGCCTGTCAGGCTGGCCCCGCCTCCCAAAGTCATAACGACATCCAACACCGCAGAGAACGTCACGAAGAGATCCAAAGTATGCCACCCCCAATCAGCCGAACAAAGGTATGCTTTGCAACCTGAGAGGCTGATCCTCCAAGCTATTTCCCCTACAAAAAGCATGGCGTAGACAGTCTGTAGGACGCGAAAGACCACGGGCTCTTCTGTGTACAAATTTCTGGAGGCCCACTCGGTTTGAATGCCAAGGAGAATAGCGTTGCTCAAGATGATCCCTGCAAAAGCGGTCTCGAGCTTCCATGATTTCCATGGACTATTTGAAGCGTTCTTTTCTTGTCCGCCTTGTCCGCCTTCAGGCATCTTGCCGCTTGGTTCTCCATAAAATGGTTTGCGCCGCAGGTTGCTTTCACGCTTTGCCAGCTCGTAAGAATTTCGTCGAGGGATCTGATCATCGGAGACTTCACTGGACTTCAAGTCTTTGATGCCACCGAGATCCTTGGGACTCGAGGGAGACAACACCCCAAACCACGGCAACGGCACCGGGCTACCTCCAACAAGACTACCTTGGGGGACCTTGATGGGGACCTTGATGGGGACCTTGATGGGGACCTTGCTGGGGACCTTGATGGGCCTTGGGCCTTGGCACTGCTCTGCTTCCAAGGCTCTCAGCTACTGGGCTTGATATCAACGTCTTCACCAGCTGCTCCACCAACCTCCAGGGATCAACTTGGAAGGCGATCCCAAAATGGCGCAGTGCCGACCAAGTGCCAAACATTGTGGCACAAACATATTGGAAACCATGGAAAAATCAAACAAGTGAAAAGCCGAGGTGCTGATGGCAGCTCCGTTGGTGTTGCAGCAAATCTTCGAATCGAGAAAGGATCTCGGAGTTTTTCTTGTCAATGAAAGCCTCCAAAATCTTGAGCTCGGAAGTCTCAGTGACCTTCATGCAATGTGCAGCGATGCAATGACTTGCAATAAATATCATAAATTGCGAAAATTGCAATGTGCAGCGATGCATGTTTTCTTTTTGCTTCGGATATCTTCGGATTTTCAAATTGGAAAATCTGTCTGCAGCTCTTCCAAGGTCTGAGGCCGAAGCACAGGTGCTGGGAGATGGCACTGGCATTGTCATTAGAATTGGCCCAACGCTTCTGAGCCGAACTAGCTGTTGAATGATGCTGCAGGCATCAGGAGGACAACTCGTTGCATTCATAACTTCTATAACTTCTTGAGTTGCTTTTTTTGGATCCAGTGATAGCAAAGAAACATAAAGCAACAGCATAAAACACCATTTTCACTGGCGTCCAAAGCAATCGTGGACCGAAACTCTTGACCAAGTCGGACCAAGTTGCAAAAGCAAGTTTTGTGACACGTTCTGCATCACACCTGAGGTGTTCTCATGCATCAAATGAGGTCCCAAATGAATGAGAGAACCCAATGACAGGATTCACTGCATCGACTTATTTGCATCTAGGCGCTTGTAGAAGAGTGAAAGCACGTGATCCAAGTGTTTCTGGTGCGCCATTCGCAAAAGCTAACTATGATTGAAATGAGCATGAGAAGCGAATGAAAAGCGGCGATCAAATTTGATTCGCACTATTTCGTACCCGATGTGTGACGACTTGTGATGATGAATCAGACCCCTGAGACATGACACATGCAGGGCACATGCAGGTCCTGACTGGCTGCGAGTCTATCGGGAATCGAAGATTGAAGGGCGTCGACCTACGCGATGAAGATCGACGAAACATGATCAAAATTATTCAAAATGCGGCAACCGCTTGGCCACCGGTAACAACTTTCAAATATATCCACATATGCAATATCATGCAATACCATGCAATGGGCAAGGCGTCGCGCCTGCGTTTTCATATGGTGCAAGAATCCTGGGAAAAACGAGGGTGGCACACGACGTCGAATGCTGCAGGACCAGATCACAAATTGGAAATTGGGAACACGGATGAATACGATGCATACGATTAAAGATGAACAGATGAACGGTTAAAATGGTTTAAAGACTTGCGCCAAGCTATGCCAAGCTTCTATCTGTCACCTCTTTTGACATGTTCTTGAGGAAAACGCCCGTCAAAGACCTAGTAACCGCGGTGCGCCATCTACCCATGAGGCTTTCCATGACAATCTCAAGTCAGTGCAAATCTGCTATGACAAACTCTACGGCGGGAGACACGCGAGTGTTGAGTCAATGTTGAGTCATGCATTTTCGATCATCTTTGTATTGATGCGCGCTCATGACATCCAGTCGCATCCAGTCGCCAAGGCATGCCAAGGCCACTCTGAAATGACTTGCAGGTGCCGTGCTTCTTGAAGTGCATCTCTGGCTTGTGATGCCTGCAAGTTGTGTAGCCGTTGGCACAATCTTGCTGGCATAGTCATGATTTGTGAACATGAACTGGCAGAACAGCGTGAACGGATGCATTCAAACACTGCGAATATCCGCGAATGTTATTTGGCCAAATTCAAGTGACTCCTGCCTGATCCATTAATGACAGCAAGTCCGATTCATGGGCGGAGAGGCTCTGCAGAGTCTCCTATCAAAAAGGGATGGGTCTAATCATCAGTAATCCAACATGCTTTGAATTTGTAGATCAGTGTTATAAGATAGCTACGGCAGCTACGAGCCATGTGGAAGCCACTCCTCAGAAAGGAGAACAGCACTACGAAAAGCTGGTGCCCCTGCTGCAGGCCACACAAGCAGCCCAAACCAAAGTAGTCTCATTAGCTACCTTAGAAAATTGCCACTGGTGGAGCTAGTGGCTACAGCTAGCGTGTGCATAGCCAAATCATTTGATCATGCCGCTGGATGTGGAAGGAGAGCAGAACTGAGGACTTTGCGTTTTGGCAGGAGGCACATGACGCTTCTGCCATGCTAAATTCCGAGATATTTTGGGCAATCATGGCAGGCATAGGCAGATGCCCACATAAAAATGACAGCAAGAAGTGCACAAAGCATATAATTGACCAATTGATGCTAGATGTGAAATGTCTGAACGAGCTACCAATATCTGCTGAAGGCAATGCAGAAAAATCCTTGCAGGTGCCTGCTGTGCCAGCTGTGCCTGCTGTGCCTGTGGTTCAGCTTCTGGTTGCTGCCTCCATTCCTCATGCTTTGGGTACCTTTCTTCAGCCAACATGATCACAGTATGCCCCAAGCGTTGCAGGCCTGAAAGCGATTGTGCACCAAGAGAGGCCTTTGGGAATTCTCAGCCTATCTTGGCAGGGCGCACCAGGGCTGATTCCGCAAGTCATCTAAAGGATAAACTGGCCTGGCATCGGAGAGCCATCGTGGGCCATCTATGTTTTGATGTGCATTGATGCATGTTGATGTACTATGAGACTATGTTCAAGGCAGCTGAATCAAAACGGCGGGTGTGGCTGCAAGAGGAGGCCATTGGCTTCTGGCAGTGGATAAAATGTCCTTCCAAGATCTTCGTGTCAGAAGCAATTTCAAGTTGGTAACGTGTGATACCCAAACCGTGAAGTAATTTCAAGTTGGTAAACGAGCGCAATCAGCAAAGCGCCATCCGAGGAGTCCTCGTCGTTGGGGTTGCTTTCTGAGAAGCGTAGCCATGCGCCTGACTCGAGAGTCGTTGGGCAAGGCCCGAAAGTTTGGTGTTGGACCTGTTCCGCTTATAATATCTTATAATCCCTTGTGCTTTTCTACTGGGATCTACTGGGGCCTCTTGTACTCTTGTAATCCATTTTATGGATTTTTATGGGCCATAGGCAAGACAAAATTGACCAATGCTGTCAAGACATGTCAAGACCGAGATCTGGCCATCCCTGGCGCCATTTTGGGCGAGCTTCATATGCTCTGCGCTCGTGAAACACGGGAAAATCAGTGCAGTCTTTCCGCAGGTCAACTTGAATGAAACTAGAGGAATCAACCACAAATCTCGGCATCTGGGATAAATCGTCGAATACTGGCGCAATTTTTATGACATGTTTTGACATGTTTTGCCATGTTTTGACCAACTAAGATCCACTTCGTGATTGCGATCCCTCAAGGCCAGCTCAAAATTTTCGCAGATCTTCCACGGCACTCCTCTCATTAAATGCTGATCCTCGTCAGGGCAGCATTGCTTTCGACTAGTTGCAACTAGTTGTAGCTGCCATCGGCACTTACACATACAACCAAACAATCAGATGCATTCAGTATGTGGTCACACACGGAAACACCCATCCACATGAAACTATGAAATTAAATGGAGCGGAAATTAAGGACAACACTGCTGCGCTGCCACCAGCTTTGAATAGTGGCCACCTTGCACTGCAATGAGCTGTTCCTCGGCTGTCCAAAAGCTGCAGCGAACATGTCACATATTTTCACAACTGGCATTTCTATCGGAGTAAAAGAGAAATTGTATCAAGTGTGATTGAAATAATATGGTCACCAAGTTCAAGTATGACACTAAGACCACAAAAACAAACAATTGATGTTGAATCTGTCACAGCTTTGCCCTTCTCGAACGACAAACAGCGATCCAGTGAAACAACAAACAGCGAAAGACATGCGTAGCTTGGCCACCAAGTCGCATGACGACCTTTCTCAACAATCCTTCCGTGATTGAAGACACAAATCTGGTTGGCATCCCTTACAGTTGAAAGCCTCAAGACCAGTCAACAAAACTCAGCGATCAAAGCATCTTTCACAAGCTCTACTTTGACTCTTCCATGTTGAAAAAGGACGCTAATCATAGATGTTTCAACTAGGCCTCGGACCTATGGGCAATAATGATGGTTGTCCTGGGTTTTGACTTCAAGAGCCTCAGCTTTGCCGCTTGACGAGTATACTATGGAAGTTTAGCCATGCCCTACTGCAACCGACTGCATACTCTGATACATCTAGGGTGTTTTTTTCCTGGTCGCTGATACATCTTCACAATATATTGCATTATATTAAAAAATATTTTAAATATTGTATTATGTTATATTATACTATATTCTATATAAATGTATGTCAATAAATATGTATGTATACATCCTGATTCTTGAGCCATATTGTTCTTCATATATGCCGATGATACATCTTGATACATCTTGATACACTGTCCTTCAACGTTGATGAGCCAAGGCACCGATCTAAGGCGACCTGCACCTGGCGCTCGCTGACCGCATCCAATGAACTGGTGGCTTCATCCAATAGCAGGACCTGAGCTGGAAGACTTGCTGAAACAAACATAAACAAACCATCAAACCACAAAATGCTAATATATAAAGGATACTGATGGATATTAATGGATTATATATAGGATATTATGGGATTATATACAGGATTATAATGGATTATATATGTCCAAAAATGATCGTTATGAATGTTCATGCCGCTGATTTGTGAACGAAACTCTTTGTCTTACTACTTTCTGCACTTTCTCTCTACTTATTTTTCATCTTCGACATGCAATATGGGTGATCTGTGATGATAGCGCACAAGATCGCACAAGCAAGTTCTAATTTAATGTGTTTGTTTGCGCCTGCAGGGAGGCTAAAAAACATGTTGCTAACTCGGTTCTTCCCCATATTTCCTGGGGCCCCAGCTGCAGGGTCACGAAGAAGTGCTCGGGCAATAGCAATGCGCTGCTTCCTGGGAGGAGAAAGAAAGGAACAGCCATGGAACAGCCATGGAACAGCCATGGATTTCAATTACCCTCTGGTAAACATACAAAAAAACTATGGAAAATCACCATTTTTATTGGGTAAATCCACTATTTCTATGGTCATGTTCAATAGCTATGTAAACGTTTACCAGAGGGTATTTCAATTTAAGTCCAAGTGCGACGGGATCGCATACTTTGACGGGACCGCATGTCTGTTTATTCTTTCGATATTGGATGCGCACCTATTGCCCTCTTGTCCTCCGATCAATATTAGCAACACCTGTGCAAAACCCTCTTCCAGTCAAAGAATTTCCTTCAAGTCAGAGTTTGCGAAACGTCGATGTAAAAAATTGTCATAATAAATCATAATAAATCATAATAAATCTATCCAATTCTAATATATTCTAATCATGCTTGTACACCCGTAACATCCCACCTTTGGCCCGGGAAATCTGCAGCCGGGCCGCTGTCCACCACTGAGCTGGGCACCTCGATGCCCTGATTGAGTACTGAAGCCCTGACAAAAACAGCACGCCAGCACACCACGCCATGAGAACATCTAAGAACCACCATGTTTGATGATGTTTGATGGGTAAATCATCTATAAATATACTATAAATGGATATAAATGGCCATTTTCATCCATTTTCAATAGCTATGTTAGTTTCATCTGACTGATGCTGAATGCTCAACATGGGGTCACAAGACTGAATCATAAGAACGTCTAAAGGCCGGAAAATCCTCGATCTGATGATATCTCATGTCACTGCATGCCAAATAAACACTCTGAACATAGGAATACATCACAACAAAGCGCAAACGTACACACAAACGTAACATAGTTGTGCTATCTATCTATTATCTACAGTAATCTATTCTAATCTAATGTAATGTTATCTAAACTCCAAAATAAAACTATCACCTTGTCTATCTGTCTTGCCGATGTTGTCTTTATATGTCTTTGCATGTCTTTAAAAATCTTTATAGTATACTTTGTAGTTTATCTTTTGATCATTTCGATCTTTTCTATCTATCTATCCATCCATCTATCCTATCCTATCTACATAATCTAATCTAATCTTATCTTATCTAATCTCTCTCTCTCTCTCCCCATCGCCCTCATCTAATCCAATCAATCTAATCTACCTATCTGTTTACCTATCTACCTATCTGTTTACCTATCTACCTATCTATTTACCTATCTACCCATGTATCTACCTCTCTCCTTATAGACTTGTCTACCTCTCTCCCTAGCTACCTAGCTATCTACCTATCTATCAATTCTATCAATCAATCAACCATCCAGCTCAATCCATCTCTCGTGACTCTAGTGTTCATGATAAAGATATGTATAATTGCAATCCGTGTAAGTACTTATCTTGCTTAGAGACTTAGAGATTCTTAGAGCGTATCCGATGTTTGATCTCTACAGCCACATGATTATGATCACCATCAGCCCATGCGCTGCCTGAGGCAAGGCAGTGATGAAGTCACTGGCGTTGGCAGCCTTAGCTGCTGCCTCCACCTCTTCCATGGTAGCATCCTGATGAATTCCAGCCACAGTTACCGTGGAAATGAAAAGTGAACATCAAGGAATATCAAGGAACATCAAGGATCAAAAGCCACTCTTGAGGAGCAATTCAACAGGCCAAGGTTGCTACTTCAAACAACCGGCATCTTATTTCATGTCTGACACTCTGTGCCCCATGCCCCCATGCGCCACTCGTGTCCTCTTGGCCGTACCGGATGTTGTCAAGAATGCTGCGGGCGAAAAGGATAGGCTCTTGCTGCACCAGGCTCCTCAGCACGACGCCAACTGATGTCACTGACATTCACACGGGCCCTACAGGTCTTGAGAACATGAATTTATGGTACCAGGTAGGCCGCGGGCACCCCATGGCATATCATGGAACAGGATGGCCTCACAGAATAGAATTGTCCAGTGTCTACCATGTTACTGGAATCTCTTCCGGCCAAACCGTTCGAAGTTTGTGGGACTTCTCAGGAGATCACCCCAAGACTTCTCACATCTTCTCATGCTTCTGCATTTTTATTCATTTTTAGGCATCCTTCTGCGCTGTCGGCTTCAGTCGCCAAATTCGCCAATGATATAACTCAACCCGATTCATAATACTATGGTCGACGAGATGCCTTATTTCCATTTATTTCCGGATCTCGGGGGATGCCACAATACCCACCCACAATCCAAACATGCAGTGGAGGTGCATCTGGGAACGGTACCATTGGAGGTTCAGGGTAGTGATGTCATGCCCATCAAACAGCACACAGCCACCCAGAGGATCATAGAAGCGCTGAAGCAATGCCACCTCGAGCTGTGGTCAAAATTCTACTGATTTCTGCATTTCAAGACGATGACAAAGGCAACGCGGGTTGGGTGTTCAAATGTGCTCAAATGCGATGCTCCGATCATTTCATCCAAGCCTCAAGAAACTTTACCAATCCGGTCGAGTGACACTTGTGCTCTTGCCGCAGCCACTCGGTCCAACCAGGGCAGTGGTGGTACCCGGCTCCACAATGAAACTCAAACCATCAAAAACCGGAAGGTTTGGACGAGTGGCATAGCGGAAGTAGACCTGGCTGACAAGCTTCCAAGGGCATGCTGTCAAGTCAATTGCCGAAATGTTATGCGTTGTTATGCTATGTTGCACTCTTTGATCTTACTCGATCTTGCTCGATCTTACGCGTTCTTACTCTCTCCACTTGCCAGCAGTTAAATGATTAGGGCGCCATGGAGCACCCTATTGTCACTCCTGCCATACCCTGACATAGCTTGACAATGCTTGACACCTATTGCAATAGTGCCACAATGATCCACAATGTGCAGGTTCGCATCGGCCTCGCGAAACTCCACGTGGCCTTTGACCTGATCCAACTTGGCCCCTTCCATGGAGAAGGGATCGATCTTGGAGCGCCGTGCGATCACGTTGAAGATGCGCCGGGCAGCATCTTGGGGCAACGTGGTGTCACTGATCAACCGGGCCAACTCACCAAAGGCTGACACCGTGGTGACCAACGTCATGACGACCACAGTGGCAATGTCCACTTCCATCAATCCACGAGAGATGAACAAATTGATGCCCCAAACAGCCATGGCTAAAATCATGAAAACAGATCCTGATGCCACACCGGTGCCTAGCGCCGATAACTTTCGAATGCCACGCTCATCGGTCATGTGCTCCTCCAACTTTCTCTCGTATTTCTCGAGGAGTACCGGTTGCAAGCCGAAAGCTGTTACAGTCTTCACGCTGTTGACAGATTCAGACACAATGCCACTCGAGTAATCACCCTCAATAGCACGCATGTTCATTGCAACACCAATGGAGCTGATTCCCAGGAGCGGCATCGTGATGAGAATGCACAAGCAAAATCGCCAACTGTAGTACATAGCAACTCCAATCCCGATAATCGTTGTGAAGAAAAAGTTCGCAGCGGATGCGATGTTGGCCTCAGGTTTAGTTTGCAAAGAAAGCCAAAGATAAACACCTAACAACCTTTTCGCTCTTCCAACGATTCCTCAAGTGCGAATCTAGAAAGATAGGAGAAAACGCTCAGTGGTGTTTGTTGCTGACAAGTTGCCCCGACAAGTGTCTTGAGCTGTGGAATGTCAGCTCCGAGCTTCCATAGAATCTGCCCGGTGCCTTGCTTGTCGTGCCACGCCACTTCCTGCATTGGAAACATGGGTTAAACACGAAGGTCCTATGAGGTCCTCTGCAAACCACACCTGAACAGCCTCAGTCTTGCTTTGCCAGTTGAGATCCGTTGAGGTTTCCGTTCGAAGCCCAGTCCTGTCTCAACAACGCCTCAAATAGGGCCGCACGAACTCGCACGCAAAGCAATTCACCTGCTTTTGCAAAAGCCCATGCGCCACCAATGGCTTGCCTGAGCGGTAAAATCAGATTGGACCAACTGACTCAAAGCCAAGCAATCCGACACGTGAAAGAAACGTTCACACTGCCAAGCCATCTCCAAACAGCTCCGAAAAATGGCTGCAGGTGCCGAGCCACAGCAACCAAAATATACTTAATGCTTGCATCAACATGCAGAGGTTCGAGACGTTTGACGCGATGAGGGGCTCGTTGTAGGCTGCGTACCTCCGGCATGTAGCTGCAAGTGATCAACATCCACAGTCGTATCAAAAGTAAATTCCGCCCAGTTCAATTGTGTAAGATGTGTAAGTCTTTTTGCTAATTTTCCGTCTTTCAATAGGGCCCAGACCAATTCTTGCTTTTTGGGTCCAAAACTGCTGGAGGCTGGTTGAAAATGTTGATGGTCAGGGAGAACTGAACACTGAAGTATGGCATGACGAAAGCACCTCAGTCACAGAAGTTCCGGAGCCTTGGCACATTTTGGCGCCCTGCCATTACCAGCCATCTAATATATTTGCACAAGTCGAGGCAAAAAGACGAATTTAAACTCCAATAGCTGTCCTTAGCTGTCCATATTTTAGATATTTTTTGATACTACATTGAAGTTAGTTAATGCTTAATTGTCTTACATGAATTTATGTCTTTCATGTGGCCATCATCTTTCCTTTTCCATCTGTGCGTCGACCCCATCCAAGGCACCAAGCATGGTGAAGCCAACCCCGACGATGTAGTACTTATAATCTTGCTTGGTGAGCTTCCATACTTGCGAAACTGCATATTTCGCACCCAAGTCCTTCCCAAAGTCATATTGTTTGGCCTTTTCCAGGTAGGAATGATCTCCTCACGCTGTATAGGGGGCGGGCATCAAAGGCACAAACATCTGATCATATTGACTCAATCCGAAAACTCCTTGCAATTGCAACTATATCATATGATATCATATGTTCAAACTGTACTTGTCAGTGACATACGGTTTTCAAACTCGCTTTGCCTTCTGACTCTCTGATGCATTGTATGAATTACAGTAGTTCCATGTAGTTCCAATGTTCAGTGCTAGCTGGTTTATTGTCAGAATGTCACTCCCGCCCTATCCATTCCGGAAAGATCGGGCTCCTGCGGCCTTTTCTTCAGAATCCTGAACAACAGCAGCATCACAACAGGCAACAACCGAGGAGAGAACGCAGCTGGAAGGAAAACGGAGAAGAGGTGTTTTAGAATGTTTTATACATAAATTGGTACAATAATAATAGAACGAATATATGTTACGTTATTATGGTTGCAAAGTCATGCGTTATATCGAACTGGGTACGTCTCAAGGTTCAGAAATTCTACAGAGGCAGGAACTTTCGCTTACAGTACATTCAGTACATCCTCCTATACATCATCTTGCAGATCATAGAGCAATATAGAAAGATAATCAAATATACAGCGATGCATTTGAGCTGAGGATGTTGAGGTTCCACTGTTGAAAGATGATGAAACACCAGAAGACAATAATTGACAATAATAATAATAAACAATAATAATACTAATAACAATAATTGACAATAATAATAATTATTATTGTTAATAGTTTTGACAATATAAAACATCCATGCCTCGGTGCTCCCATTCGGAGTCATGCTCACATTCGGCCGGCCTTGGGAGAGCCAGCACGCTGCAACAACATCTGCGCGCCACCAGCGGGTGCATCGGCCTCACTCAACGCTGTAAGGAAAGCCACCCTGGTGGTGATGAATAATTAGTGGTGATTGGTGGTGATAAACAGTGCTACATGGTGATCGGTGGTGTTACACAGCAAAGCAGACAGAACTGATCAGAACTGCCTTCACATCATCTTGTTTTGGGCTGCTGGAAGCTTCTTCCTGCGCAACGAGCGAGCTTTCCTTTGCCAACAAAATCTGCACAAGTCGGGACGGCAAAAGCTTTAAAAGAATCACATTGTCTGAACATTATAGCAACAGCAGTCAACTGCTGCCATCAAACTTTGAGTGTTCTTGGCAGAGCCATAGGAGACAAAAACACGGTTTGTTGCTCAATATTTAAATGTATCCCTATTATGGACTCACACACACACATAGATATAAGATATGTATGTATATATATAATTATGTATATATATATATATGTGCATATATATAAAATATATATATGATTATATACAATATACATATGTCCAATAACAATAAGTTATTGGGCCCGAAGGAATGCTTGAGGTGTCCATGGTGTCCTCTTCCTTTTGCACGGACAGCTGCAACCGCAGGAGCTTCTCGTAAGCACCCTCCTTTCTCATGAGTTCCTAGGAGAGTGGAGAGGAACCGGTAAATAACAAACAAACTTTGCACTGTCACAAACAAGACCAGATTCAAAATAGTACAAACTTTGTACAAACTGTACAGGCTCCTTTTTATGGCGAGTGTCATCGTGAGTGCCGGACTCTGCGAGTTTCCCCTTGTCAAGCACGCAAATTTGATGCGCATGTCGCACCGTAGACAAGCGATGTGCAACAACCTTGGTTTCACTAAGGGTGACTCACCAACTTCTATCCGTTCTATCCAACACACCTTAAGAGCACCAAACTTGTTTTTGAGATCTTTCATGATCTTTCTCAAATATGTTGTCCTGCATTGTCCTGCACCCTTGTGCGTGTTTTACTTTGCACGTCTGGAACAAGCTGTAGCACATGAGAAACATGTATGAGCACACATGGCTTGAGATCTGTCAATTGTCCACACTCTACTGTACTATATAGGCTTATATTATACTATAATATGCTATATCCATTTATTGTTTCTTATTTTCCTAATCATTGAGATGAGCTGCTATGGTTGTTCTTCCTCCCAGATCCAACAACTCGTCCAAAGCTTTCTGCACTTGTCGTTCAGAGGCTGAATCAAGAGCACTGGTTGCCTGCTCCAAAGGAAAGTCCCCAACGACATTTTGTGAATGATTAATGTGGTCAAACCCAATAATAAGCCATTCCCAATAGACCTGTATTATATTGTACTGTATTGTTGTTTATTATTGGCTTAATTTCTGGGATGGTCTAAAATGAACCCCAAATGGTTGGTTTATTAATGGGATGCTGTAATGCTGTATTAATTATGTATTATTGGGTTTACCACATTAAACTCATCGTTCACCATGCCTTAGAGCCCTTTGGTGTTGGGGCTAACCGTTAAAGGGATCGTTAGGGGCTTTTGGGATGCCAACATGACTCACAGAAGCTTCAGCTCCGAAAATGGCTGGCACAACCTGGCACAGCTGGTATCTGTGCCATTCTGCGCCATTCTGTGCCATTCTGTGCCATTCTGTGCCACCCCACCTCATCCAGCAACAGGACTGCCTTGGCGGAGCATGTGATGCATTCTGAACCTCCTGCGTTCCCACGTCAAGACCCGTAGTGACCCACGGTAACCCACAGTATCCCACAGTGACCCTTCCCAGCCACTGCTTGACGGTGCTTCCCAGTGACGGGCTTTCGTATCAGCGCCCGTGCAATGGCCAAACGCTGCTTCTGACCACCACTCAGCTGGGTGCCGGCTTCTCCAACCTGGCATGCCAGCTTCGAGCAAGGAAGGCGCCCGGAAGGCGCCAGGAAGGCGCCAGGAAGGCGCCAGGAAGGTAATTGTGGCAACGATATGGCAACGATGACATGTGATGACATGCATGAAGCCACTTTTTTTTCTTGAAGCCACGCCTTTGTCTGGTATCCCATTGGAAAGCTCATGATGAAGTCATGTGCACTAGCCTCACACCAACTCAGCAGCAGATCAGCGTGTTTCAAAACTTGTGAGTCGTTGACCATAGACTTGATATGACACGATGATCAACAGAGTCTGTCGACTGTTAGATGCTTCACCTTTCCGAAAATATTCATGATCTTCATGATGCTACTGCGGTACGCTGATCTTCGAGACCTTCTGAACGGTAAGATAACGCTAACATATGCTAACATGATATAGGTCCACGTGAATGTATGCATCATGTTACATCACCGTAAAAACGTGAAAACTGAGCGCCCAGCCAGTTTGGCAGCTTGCTCAACATCAGCTTTGGAGACACCGCCCTTGCATCCCAGCGCAATGTTGTCGTACACCGGATCTTGGAAAAGGATTGGCTCCTGACGCTATCACCAGATGCAGCAAGAACAGCAGAGCACAGCTCCCAATAGCTCCCTTGAACATGTGACAGCCATTGACACTCCATAGTTTGAGAATGTTTCAGGTTGAAAGACACCCTTCCTCAGAATCTGAGACATTTCTGTCAACTGACTGCCTACCCAATGGCGCCTAATGGCGCCTTCAATGTTGAAATCCAAGCGCAAACACATGAGACCCATCATTGATCATATTACTTATTAATATCTAATCATTAATTGATCATTAATCAATCATTCTTACCCATTCATACCCAGTACCTCACATGATAAATCCGAGTCCTGCTCCACCAAAGCCAATTTGGAGCGGAGCCAATGCAAATCCAAGCTGCGAATGTCATTGCCTCACATCGAGATATTGGGAGATTTGAGGCGTGGACGACTTCGCCAACGGGGCAGTGGTGTTTCACTGGGTTTTTCGGAAGCGGGATGATGAGAGATGTGGAAAATGATTGCAAATGATGTATGAGATGATGAGAGATGATAAGATATGACATCATGCGATGGGATGGGATGCGATTGAAGGGATGCGATGGTCGGAGAGAAGATGTTAAGATGATAGGAGACGATATGATACGACATAATGAAGAGTCATGTAGAGATCACGCGAAACCAGCCCACAGAGGGTTGGGATGGAGTTATTTAAGTGAAACTTCACACGAAAAGAGGCTGAGCGGCTGCCTCCAGACCCCAAAAGCTACTTTGCTAACGCAAAGGCACAACTCTAGCTAGCTACCGCTAGCTATCGTGAAAATATGAAATATCTAAATATATATATATATATTCCAATTGTTTAATTGATATTATCATGATAGATTGCCAAAAATATATCAGCTAGCCAGGCCACCATCCAAACTAACTTGTCCCGAGTCAGGCTCGTAGAATCGGAGGAGCAAACTGATCAGGGTGCTCCTGGGACCGTTCTAGTGACTAGTGTCGGCCCGCAAGGTGAGAAACAAAACACACCTTGAAACAGGTGAGAACTCCTGCCATGTTGGCTCTGAGTCATCTGATGAATAATGTTTGACATGTGCCATGTGCTCTTCAGCTTTCACGTTCTCCGTTTGCTGTTCCTGGACATTCCTTTCACTCTGTTGGGTTCCTTTGATTCTTGCGATACAACATGGAAGCTGTGCAGCTGCAGCTTCTGCAGCTAAAGATCTTTCCGGAGCCACTGCTTCCAACGAATGCGGTAGTGCAACCCGCAGGGATGGTTACAGAGACACTCTTCAGGACCAACGCATCAGGACGTTTGGGATATGAAAAGCAAACCTCTGAGAAGGTGATCGCACCTTCCACTTTATCCAGCGTCTTGCTGCCACCTGGCAGTGCTCTTGAGATGTCTTGAGCATATAGATGAATTTGCATATAGGATCCTATAGGTGTCTTTCTAATTTGTGTCTATGGGCGGTGACCCAAACCTGACTGATAAAAAAAGGAAGGCTCACTTGTCGAACGTCTTCTGTCATACTAACTGCAATTTCGAACGCGCTTGCTGTTGACATGCAATTTGCTGTTGAAATGCAATGGCAGGCCCAGGCACCAACAATATGAATCGGCTCATCCAAGATTGCATTGATGCGGTGGATAGCAGCTTTTGCGTTGGCAAAGGCGCTGAAGCACATGTTCATGGTGCCCAGGCCCATGGTAAAGCCCCATACCACAGTGTACATTGCAGACAGGATGGTGCCGCCCGTTCTGCAGTTGCCAAAAGGTGGAGAGGAACGCCAGCAGTCCTTCATGGAGCCCAGGCCACTAGACCCAAATGTTTTCTGCCAGAAATGTAACCAGGTGCAAGAAGTATCACTTTATATATATATATATATGCAGCATATATGCATGTAAAAGATATCTATATCTATGTATGTATATATATATTCTTTTTAACACGCATATAAAGACACACACAGACATATATATGTATGTATATATATATGCACATAGAATGCAATAAAGTCTGGTGACATGGGCGATTGCTACTAATACTGGGAAGAGCTGCCTTGTGTCGACGACTGCTGTGTCAACTAACGGACCGGTGCCCTAATCTGTGCCCAGTCACTGACTCATAATCTTGTAGAACCCAGATAGAGCCGAAGTATACGCCCAAAGACATGCCACAAATCAGGACCTCAACACGGCAATTTGGAGCCATGACAAATCTGATGATTTGGGCAGATTTGGCCTGATCTTGCAATCGGGTATCTATTACATGGATGGCATTGTCAATTTGATTTTGTCAATTTATTTTGTCCATATCAGATTATATCAGATTGTGCTTGTCCTCGTTTGGGACCTGTTGAAACATCATCGACTGCATGCGAGGCACTGTGTTTGTAAGGCCAGTGGCATACCCTGCAACTACCCCAATCCTTGGCACCACACTTCGGTAAATTCCGACTTTTCTTGCATACAGAACACATGCAAGAAAATATCTCACGATGCTTTATGCAACTGCATGGCTGCAAGAGTGATCGCTCTGTAAGACTCATGAAGTCTGAGAAGAGGTCTGGATGGCAGTAGAGCTGGCTTCATCTACATGGCCATTGAATGTCTCGAGCTCAGCTTTTTGACCATTGAAGGCAGTGACTGTTTTGATGAGTTCGGTTGCAGTCACCTCCGGACATCGTAGCATTGCTCGCACTTGCAGCACCACTGCAATTCAAGATCAATCATTAAAGAGCAACAAATGATAGCAATGAACCAGTGCATTGCATGTGGACATTGTGTCATGAAATGTTAAGATATGTCAAGATTGTGGTAAGCCGAGGGGCACAAACTTCTCCTGCTTTCGCATAGCAAGCTTCAACCACCATTGAGAAGTTGCGCACCACTTCCACCGACAAGGCCATGCAAAGCCCAGCAATTGGCATCACCACTGCCATCAAAATCGAGATCTTCCAATCTCGAGTACATGCCAGGGCCTCAGGACAAGATCATATCATGGAGGTTCATCATGGTTCATCGAATTAGGCCGAATCTCATCAGCACAGGTTTAGGGTCGTTTTGGACGTAGATAAATTTTGGTCGATGCCAGTCGATAGTATCTGATGCAAGTCGATTGACTGGTTGACAATTTTTTCCCCCTATTACTACCCCCCCCAAAAAATGATAAAAACTAGGGTCCGTCTCCAATTTTGGAAAATTTGAGGTTGGCCAATTTGATTTTTAATTGATCCAATTTAGAAAACAATTAAAACATGAAGCTACCATTTCAATCCATTTCAGGATTTCACCCCTAATAATAAAAACTAGGTGCCGGGCATCTGAGCCGGCCCCCGCTGTTGTCACTTTTCAAACATTTTACAGGGGGGACCACAAAACGCTGAAAAACGAAACCTTAGCATCAGGAGCATTTTCATCATCATCATCCTCATCACCGTCATCATCATTTACATATCCATAACCATCCACCTAACACCCGCCCTACGATCTGCAAGTGCATGAGAACGTACAGCAGCGTAGCATGACGTATGTGTGCAAGTGCATGAGAACGTACAGCAGCGTAGCATGACGTATGTGTGCAAGTGCATGAGAACGTACAGCAGCGTAGCATGACGTATGTGTGCAAGTGCATGAGAACGTACAGCAGCGTAGCATGACGTATGTGTGCAAGTGCATGAGAACGTACAGCAGCGTAGCATGACGTATGTGTGCAAGTGCATGAGAACGTACAGCAGCGTAGCATGACGTATGTGTGCAAGTGCGTGCGAACGTACAGCAGCGTAGCATGACGTATGTGTGCAAGTGCATGAGAACGTACAGCAGCGTAGCATGACGTATGTGTGCAAGTGCATGAGAACGTACAGCGGCGTAGCATGACGTATGTGTGCAAGTGCGTCAGAACTTACAGCAGTGTAGCATGACGTATGTGTGCAAGTGCATGAGAACGTACGTATGTGTGCAAGTGCATGAGAACGTGCAGCAAATGACGCTATTATCCCACCCCACCCCACCCCCCCCACCCCACCCCTCCCACCGCCCTCGTCTATGATGTTGTTTTTAGTGTAATGTCAAAAAGTAAGAACAGCGGGGGCCGGCTCAGATGCCCGGCACCAAAAAGTAGTCAGCCCCGGGGTGTTTTTTATTGGGGTCCATCTTTTAAGATCGAAAAAACAATGTATTTTATATTAAGGTTTTTTCATTTCATATGAAGGGAAAGCTTCGAAATCCAAGTTTTGGCAACATTTTAATTAGATTTTAGAAGGAAATCTAATCGATTTTGAAATAGAACAAAATATTCTTTTACATTAGGGTTTTAAATTTAGTATTAGGGGGAACCCTAATAATAAATACCCCCTAATTGTGAAAACTACCTGAGGGGTTCAGTATTAGGGGGAAGGTTTTACAGGTTCATCACTTAGTTGATACAGGTCGGTGGGAGCTTCAAGAGTGCTTCAGTATCTTCCAATATCTTCAAGGCACTGAGGCAGACATCGCCATGGCGACAGCTCGCGAGAAATCCACCAAGCGTTCCCCAATGCCATCCCGGAAGAGATGGGTGTCTTGTACCAATTGCGGTGCCAGCTCGTTGGCCTGGTGAAGATCATGCCAACTGGGCCCTTGCATCAAAATCTGATGGAAATATTGGCGTCTGGCAGCCACCACCTGCCGATCAGCTGCATGGATGGCCATGTAGCAACCACCAGTTCGAGCACATAGGACCACCAAGGCCAACAAGATGTAGGTCATGCCAACCTCCGCCACTTTTGTATCTCTCACGCTGTGAGGGGAGTTCACGGGTGGCAAGCTGCCATCGTCATTCGGCATGTAGATGGCATGATAGAGGTCCGACAAAAAGAAAAATGCCATTGGCATCACTGTACCATGGACGGCGCCCAGCATCACTGCAATCATTGTGCAAAACGTATCCTCAAAGTACAGGGCCAAATGTGAGGAATGAACAGGAATGGTGTACAAAGGACAAGGACTCACTAAGTGAAACCCGAATGGTTACCCAGAGCAGTTATGTTCCGCAGTTGCCGAATGCAGTCGCTGATGGAACATGCCTAAATGCTGATATCGTTACTGCGATCTTAATGCATTCCACCAGCTGCTGTGGATTTCAAAAACTTAGAAGTTGAGATGTGGTTACATGCACCAGACACAGCATGGCCACTGCGCAAGGATGACACGATGCCATTGTACAAATGGCTCAAGGGCGAGACGAAAAAGTCTTGCCTAGCAGCTGCGCTTTGCAGTTGTTGATCCACAGGTTTTGAGCCCAGCGGGTCCCAACTGACATGGAGCTTGCTGGCCGACGTGAGTCCTCTTTAAAGAGACGTGCAGCTGCTGCGGTGAGCGCTGAGAACGCTGCTGGCCGCGCTGACGATCTGATGAAGCGGATGCTGGAAGATGCAACTCGGTCTGAAAATGGTGGGTCTGTGGGAGTTCTAAGTAGTGAGCCTCATACCACTGGGAATGTGACTAGTGGGGGCATGTTGGATGCTCTGGGGCCTGTGGGACCTCCGTTGTCCTTTTCTCCCGGTGAGCCCCGCATGTTGGTTGAGAATGACCCTAAGGGTAATGAAAACCTCGAGGTGAAACAAAGGGTTGAAAAAACTCCTGATGTCAAAAGGGTTGTGGTATCTGAAACGCAGCAGCCTGGGAACCCACAAAGGGATGAAAGACTTAGACCCAGTGCCGAACCAGTGCAAAGGGCTGTGAATGAACATGGTTTTATGGGAGCTACTGGTAAGGGAAGGGGGTCAGGGTCTGAGTCTCGAAGGATAGAACCTAGACAACAAGTTGCGGTTGAGGGTCGTAGCCTTGCCAGGGTTGAAAGTGTGTCGCAGGGCTGCCCAATATAAAATGTGAAGGGTTCTGGTGTTCCTGCAAATGTGTCACAGGGCCCTAATCTTAAGGGTTCTGGTGTTTGTGGAAATGTGCCTCAGGGCTGCGAAGGGTTCTGATGCCTGTGAACGGTTTTACATAGGCGACGGGCCTCAGGGCTCCGAACGTGTTGTTGTGATTCCAGAACCAATGGGAAATGTGGTGAGTCCCTTCTGGAGCAAAACTCAGCAGCGTGAAGCTGTCCAAGAAGCTTTCGGGCCTGGGTACGATGTGAATGCCTTGGGTTTGCAGCTGGGTTCAAATTCAACACATCAAAAAGTGCATGTGGGACATAGGGGAAATGTTGATGTTGAAATGGATCCAATTGAGTTGTTCCGATTGCGTTGTTTGAGGGAAGCTGAAGAAAAGTTTCGTCAAGGTTTGTTGAATGCGGGGCTGAGTGTGAAAGAGCCAAGGGTGGAAAAACATGGGATTGAAAAAGGGTCTTATGGTTCATGCCACTGCCTTGCAATTTGGTGACCGGCTTAGCATCATTGATTCTCTCATGGGTGACTTGTCGTATTCATCGGGGGCTTGGTGGGCTTTGCTCAGGGGAGCTGTTGATCAGTGTTGCAGGGATTGGTTGAATGTGGGTCCCATTAAACGGTTGAGACTTCACCCCCAATTAAGTGGATCCTAGGGTTCAGCTTTGGCCCCGAACGGAAAGAAGGGCATTGTCCATGCTGTTGGGATCTATCCCTGATCCAACCAAAGAAGAAATCATGTCAGCTTGAACGCTGACCACTGACCAGGTGTTGTATAAGTTGTGCATCACCTTTCAAGCGGGAGGTGCGTCTGAACGCGCCAAGTTGTTGCAGAACATCACGGATTCCAAGTGTTGTTCCAATGTTCATGAAATTTTGGATTGGATTCGGGCCTGGCGAAGGTTTGTTCAAAGAGCCATGGAACTCCAAGTCACTTTGCCTGATGGTTTGGTTTTGCTAGGAGCTTTGACCAAATGTACTGATGTTTTGAGTGGAAAACCCCACAAGTGGCATATCGTCTCAACATGATCCGCCAGCAGTTGAACTTGGATCAGTTGCCAACAGCAGAGACAATCCTGAGCTACTCCGAACATTTGCAAGCTGAAACTGAAGAGCTGACCTTGGGTGTGCCTGCGAAAGCAACTTCGGCTGTGAAAGCTGCTGCTTTGGGTGTGTCGCCACCTCCAGGGATCCTTCAAAATCTTCAAAATGAATCGGAACAGAAATCTCCGAACCGAAAAAAGAAGGCTTGTAAGTTTTGGATGGGTGAAAAAAGGTGTTCACTCCAGACGTGAATGTCCTTTGAAAGCTGCAGGTCCGACTCTAAGCGTGATCCCACGAAAAGGCCTTGAAAAGTCTGGGAAGGGTTGGGGCGAAAATAGATGAAAATAGTAGCCCTGAAAAAAACACCTGGCGATGTTGCCACTGCAGAGAAGCCGCTTGGTTCGGGCCGGAAATTGGGAATCGGGGAGAAGCGACTCCTGAAAGGGTCACCGGGCTGTTGAGTGAAGCCACAACCCTCTTGAAAACCTTCAAGCCGGCTGCCAGGGTTGTCAAAATTAAAAGGGTGAATTCTTCTGATGGTCCTAAGGGTCTTTTGGATGGGGGAGCCACAAATGCTTTGAGAAGGGTAGGCCGGTGCTGATTTGCGGGGACTTATTGACCTTGGTTTGTCATCAAATGGAGTGCTCATGGTTGTGAAATCAAACGCCCCTCGAGAGGAACCATTCAGTGTTGGTTGCGAAACGGTTGTCCTGTTGTGTCGGAAAAACATGCACTTGGTTTGATTCATGATGTTGAGTCCATGGAATTGGCCAAACGAATCCCTTCCGAAACCTCTGAAGTTGTTTCTGAAAGTGCCTATGGAATGGTGGTCTGCAAGGTTTCCGAATGTTCTTAAAAGAATTTGGAACTACATAAAGGGCCAAGGTGTTGAAACTCCGGGGAGTCAATTGCCTTGGAATTGCGCCCAAAGGCGCCGACATGCCCAAGCTAAGGCGATTGTCACCGCCTTGAATGCCGGTGAAGCATCTAAGGAATGGTCTCATGGCTGGCCTGCCGATATCGAGATGGTCGCTTTGGATTTTCGAAACTGCCAAAAATGTCCATGATGCTGCCACTTTGTCCTACATTTGGCGACTTGCCGCCTCGGGACGTGTAATTGCCATTGTGGGGGGACCACCCTGCCGCACTGTGAGCAGGTTGTTGGGCAAAAACTCCAGGTCCACCAAGCTTGCGTTCAAGAAATGGTCCTGAAAGGTTTGGGTTTGAACACCTCCGACAAAGAATCCCAACAGCAGAAAACCGATAGTGACACTGCACTGTACTTGAAACAGTTGGGCTTGTACATGCATGCTCATGAGTCTTGAGATGGTTCGAAATGGCCCCACATGACACATGTTGCGAATCGGGTTGGGTTTATGTTGGAATCCCCTCAAGACCCCAAAACTTACCTCCAAAATGGCGAAGGGGATGAGTCTGCTACTTTTTGGGCTTGTGATGAAGCACGGGATTTCCTTGAAACTTTCTAATCAAGTGGAATGGAAATGATGAAATTCGATTAGGTGCGTTTGGGCAAACTCGGAAAAACTCACATTATGTATGACCAATCTCCCTGATATGAGAGAATTGGATGGCTGTCGCCCTGGTCAAGGAGAACGACATTTGGCAGTCAACTTGGATGAAAGGCTACATCAAACTGCCTCTTAGTCTCTTTGGGCGCCTGGGTTGAGAGCTGCCATCAAAACTTCCCTGTTGGGTTTGGTTGAATGGTATGGGATTTCACCACCAAAGTTGTCCAAAAGTTTGGGGTTGGATCAATGGAAACAACACATCAATCAAGGACATCAACCTTACCGACGGGATTGTAGGACTTGTATCCTAAACATGGCTGGGTCAAAACCACACCGACGTAGGGAACATGCTGGAAGTTCTGCTTGGACCATGTCTGTGGATTTGGTTAACTTGTGAGATATGGGTTGGTTGCAACAGCCCTTGTTCCAGTGTTTGGCTCTCCTCCGGGGGACGAACCACCGGCTGCCGAAAAGCCAGTGGATGCTGAAATGTCATCCGATGCGTCGCGACCAATGGAAACGGTGGATGCATGTTGGGGGGAGGGACTGGATGAGAAAGAATACTCCCTTCAGGGAGACGAAGCAAATTGAAGAAAACCCTATATGGGATGATGGCGTTTTCACGAAAGACCATGCTGGGTCATGGGCGAAGATGAACAGAAAGAATGAGAGTCAAAATGTTTTGAGAAAGAGAGCTGCCTCAACCTGTGAAAGCGTGTGAAAGTGAGTCATGTCACACTCATGGAACCAGTTGAGTCCCGAAATGTGAAACATGTGATGCCTTCGACGGATGCTTTGGTGACTAGGATGCGATACATGGGTGTTTGTGTCACACGTATCCGTATTATTAATAATTATCCATTCAGACAGAGCCAAAGAACTGCTGGCTCGCAAGTTCAGGTCATGGGTTTGAAGGGAATGAAGTGTTGGGGATTTTTGACGAAATTGATGAAGAAAACCTTAGGGTTCACCCCGTGTTGTCAAGCGGTTGGAAACCAATGCTGGGTCCAAGCCATGAAAATGTTTGTTTTGTGGTCGAAGTCACAGGCTGTTGCCAAACTCGAGCCTTTGGACAAGTTGGAAAACTGTTTGGGTTGGATGCATCAAAACATTTCCAGTTCACTTCAAAACCTTTTAGATGTTGTTCCCACCACAAAGTCTCTTGGGGAAGTTTGTGGGGCTGATATCCAGTGGCTTCAAGGGAAAAAAGACCGTTCGGAGAATGATCTTTTCTGGGTCCGGGATGCCCAAAACAAACGGGTTATCAAAATGTGTGGCCTGCAAGCTGATGATGTCTTGGCCAAGGATCCGGGGGAGGTTTTGCAAACCACCACAGTCCCTTTGAATGAAGTCCGAAATGAACTTGGAATTGAAAGATGCGATGATGAAAGAATACAACAGTTTGGTCCATGAAACAAAAGCCATCGAACCTGTTGACCTTTACCTTCCGCGTTGGACCAAGAAGCTGTTGAGTTTGCTCCCGGAAAATTAGTGACTGTTCGAAAAGCGGGTCCACATGGTGGAAAAAGGAATGTAGGGCAGTAGTTTGCGGATTTTGCTGCATCCTGTTCCGGGCAATCTCTACGCTTCTGGCGCTGATGGCATTCTAATCAGAGCTACGCTGGCTCACTCTCCGAGCTGAAGCAAAGTGGACCGGCTACACCTTCCTGACCATGAAGAGGGAGGCCATAGATGAGCTGAATTTGGAAATTCGGTTGGAGGATGCGACCGTGCCGGTCAATCCACATTGGCCCACCTCTCAAAAAGTGCCAGATGATGACTTGGACGTGCATGTGGGCCGCCACTATGAGATGCATACCCCGAGGCGACAAAGACCTCACCAAGAACCTGGCCTGGTGGTTGGAAAGAACCTTGCCCAGTGCTGAGCCCCAGGAGCTCCAAGTGGTGCAATTGGTGGGCCCAACCAGCCAATACAACAAGTCCACTGCTCCACCATCTGTGGGCTACAACCGTGGTGGTGGTGTCATCCACGTGGAGTCACCGCAATGATGTCCTCCTCAAGCTCCCATGCTGCCCCCTCTTGTTCCGAGGTCCTACCACTGGTCGAAGAATGGGCTTTGGTGACTGATGATGAGGTCCTGAAGCTGCACGCCGATGAAGCTCCATTGAGAGCCGGGCTACGAAGCCATAATTTGTGGCTGAGCTTTTGTGAAGTTCCGCAGCGAGCTGCGGGGGGGAGTGCGATTCATGATGCGTTCCACCAGCTGCTGTGGATTTCAAAAACTTAGAAGTTGAGATGTGGTTACATGCACCAAACATAGCATGGCCACTGCGCAAGGATGACACGATGCCATTGTATAAATGGCTCAAGGGCGAGACGAAAAAGTCTTGCCTAGCAGCTGCGCTTTGCAGTTGTTGATCCACGGTTACAAAACCCGTTTTTCCCTAAGCTCAACTCAAGAATACCAAACGTATATGAGGGCCCAGTTGCCTGATGATCAAATATCTCTGTAGAATTGGATGATATTGGGATCTTTTCACGTGAAAAACCTGCAAATCAAAAACCTGTCAGGAATGTCGAGGCCCAGTCACCCACGTTGTGGCAAATCGAAACAAAGCCAGGAAAGGTGCACGAGTCTGGCATCACGAATTTGGATGGTGATGCTACTCTGAACCATGCGAACATTGCCATACTGCCGTTAATATATTATTTTAAGCCTGCCTGTGTGTCAGGTGTGGCCAATTTTTTCGGGAGGGTAGCTTTTGTTGGTTTTCTTGCTTGTCTGGTTTCCTTGCTACTTGCAGCATTAAGTTCTTTTACATTGGTAACGCCGTGCAGTATTTTTAGCACTTTGAGCGACCTTCACCTTTCTTGTTTTTCCTTGACTTCAACGGTTGCTCTGTTTCGAGCGTCTACGTGTTGTTTTGCCGTTTTCTTATCATCGCCTCATCGCAACTAGTTTTGCTGCTAGTGGTACTAGCTATAGTACTGTTGTTGTTTGGATGTTTTTTTTAAATATTGCTGTTGCTGACTCTTTCACTTGTTGTTGTCGTTCTTGTTGCTCTTGTCGCTCTTGTCGTTATTGCGTCCGTTGTCG